AGTTCTATATTGTATGCAGTGATGCAAGATGTATGAATGTATTGTACAAACGGTGCTTTGAAATATTTTTCTTCTGATTATCATCATTATTTGAAGAGGCTTCTGAAGGGATTGTTGAGTTGAAATCAAAAAGTTGAAAAGAATGGCCAAAAGAAATGTCCCGCTGAATATAAGTCTGATTAGTTTTAAATTATGAATTTCAGCACTTCAATACATTTGTTTTGTGTGAATATTCGTGCCTCTCTCTCCTTGGTACAATCAGTGCTTTGAAAACTTGTTTTTTTAGATTATCATATTTGAAAAGGTGTCTGAAGATATTGTTATATTGTTGAGTTGAGTTGAAACCAAAGGTTAATAAAAAGAATGGCGAAGAGAAATTTCCTGAGTTTAGTGTCATTAGATTTAATGATGAATTTCTACACTTCAATAATTATTTCGTGGGAATATTCGTGCCCCTCATAGTTGGCGAATTGTCATTTAAGCTTTTTGTTGTAATTAAATATTTGTTATAATCATATGCCTCTGCAGTCATGGAAATAAATGATTAAGCTCAATGCCTAAACAATGGCTCAAGAACTACCGTAATGGCTGATCCCGTAACAAGTGGACAAGTTCTGGCACAAGGCACAACCTACGTGTCAGAGGGGTGCACACCTGTGTTCCTCAATACCTATGTTCCCCAACCTTAACCTCAACCCTAACCCTAATCCTAAGGATTTCGGGGAACATCGGTATTGAACATAGGTATTGGGGAACATCGGGTAGACCCCTGTATGCGTTTTCTATTGCTCATTATCAGCTTTTAATTACTGGGCTGATTAAAACAATATAATAGTGTCTTTTTAAATAGTCGTGCCCTTTTTCCCTCTTTCTCTCCCCCCCCCCCCCCCTTCCCGAAATGGTGGATTTTCCAAGATGGCAGATTGCTTCTTCCATTTTCTCGACTCTTGCTGATACAAAATTGTGTCCACTGGGAACCATAACCCTCACATAGCTATTCAGCTTGTCGGAAACAAAAAGACAATATACTGACTATTTTTACAAAATAGAGCTAATGTTTGATTTAAAAAAAAGAAAAGGGAGTTGGCTGGGGAAAAAAAGGTGGGTGGGGACGAGAAACTGGTTTAGTTTTTAACTTGGCCTTTATATATTTTGATTGAGTGGTTCTTTACCAAGAATAGGCCATCTGCCTCAAAATTCACCCAAAAAAAACCCCCAAACAATTGAAAAGCACAGTGTGGTGGAATGCCCAAATCATAGTGTATTGGAACTCTAGTAACCATTTGTTTTGGTGGGGGTATTTTATTTATTTAATGTCAAATTTAGTACGGGATTTGTAGTTTTTCGGGGGCATTTCGGGAGACATGTCTTGGTTTCTTTTAATCACTCGATCATTTAAAGCAAAATTGGGGAGGATACTTTTCACCACTCCCCCCCCCCCCCCTAAAAAAAGGCATACTAACCCGCCCCCCTCCTTTTGACCTAGATTTCTCAAGAGGTCAATGATTTTTTCCCAAGGATGTTTACATCATGCTGATGCGTAAGGTACCCTGACGTCTGTTTGCCCAAGTCTGCCAATTCACCACAATGTGTGTTCTGTGTTCGGTTACCTAGCCCGACTATTACAATTATCCGAAACCATGTGTACAGATTGTGACACTGACACAGTGTGCTTAATTTCATACGAGTTCGTGTGATTAATTGTCAGTTGTTACACAACTTCGGAAGCGTTTCATAACTAGACCGCGAACTTTGTCTGGTGGTAAGGAATGAGATGTTTTCATCAGTTGCGAGCAAGACGTTAGATGGGATCGTTGGGCGGATGATGTCTACTCTTCGAGACCGGTTTCGCCGCTCCGGTTCGGCCGCCGATCACGAGCAGATGGACGTGGCCGTGGGTGCTGATTTCCTCGACCTGTCCCGTTGCATCAATGCTCTTTCGTTGCATATGTCGCCGGATAGAAGGTAAACAAATTAGGGAGGATTCTCATAAAATAATGTTGCAATATATTATTATTATTTTTATAAAAAAATGTGAATAAGTTCTTTAACCCTAACTTCCTAGGCCTTTTTGCTAGGATGTAGCCTCAATCCTGCAAAATCCTCCAATTGGCCTCATGGAAAAATAGCAGCATATGATATAGCCTCAATCCTGCAAATTCCTCCGTTGTTTCTTGAATATGGTCCATGGAGGGGTGACCACTGCCTGAATCCTGCAAAATCCTCCGGCTATGACTGCCAATAGGCTGAGGCAGAGGCAGTGACATCTTGGAGCAGTGCGGAGGATGTCAAGTTTAATCAAGGACTAAATTTATGCACGGCTGACCATAAACAACATCTTTCCGAAACAATGCCCTTTATTAAACATCTCTGCAGAGTGACCAATAACCAGGCACTTCATGATACCGTTGAGCAACTCACAGAGTGCCTAGCCCGCATCTATGCATCGTGTCTGCACAACAACTCAACCAAGGAGGCTCCAGTCTGTCCAACAGAATTCTCCAAAGAAGAAGGCCTGATTCTGTCACTTGCCGCTGAAGTTGTTAGCCAGTTGTACGTCCACCAGGCTAACAATGGCAGATTGTTTCAGAAATGCAAAAAGGTTTGTATTTTGTTTGTTTATTTCCCCACACCTCTTCCTTAAAGCCTTTTTAACATTAGAGCTTCTCAACCTGGGTTGAAGTCAACCCTGGGTGAACCCAGTGCCGCCCTGGGTTGACTTAATTATTTTTCAACCTTGCGTTCAACCCCACATCGTTTCAAAATTGTTTCTTGCAAATCAAACTTATTTCGCTCGGTTACTACTGTTTTTAACCCTGGCAAGAATTTCAACCCAAGTTTAAAATCTCAACGCTGGTCTGGAGCAGGGTTGAGTTCAACCCGGGGCGAACTCAATCTCGGGGTTGACGCAGGGTTGGCGCAGGGTGGAAATTTTTCAAGTGTGAAATGCTGCATGTTTTCAGCCCTGCGTCAACCCTGAGTCAACCCTGAGATTTGTCTAGTGTGAAAAGGCCCAAATTAGGCTGTTTGGAAGTGAAGGAACGACCCAGCGATTTTTACCTCTACTTACTGAGACACTTTTCTTGGAAAAGTTGCCTTAAAATCCACCAAGAACCCAAAGACACACTCTGTCAAAGGGCTTTACGAGACATCATGTCCATTTTAAGTATTACTTATAAGCTTGGCTTTACCTTCTTCGGATCTTTCAATATCGACTAAAACCTGTTTGATTTTAAATGTTCTGGGTTGTTAACCAAGAGTACAATACAAGGATTTAATTTACCGTTGTTAAACATCATTTAACCGTTGTTAAACATCATTTTATGGGTAATTAACATTTTGATATATTCTTGCATTTACAAAATAGGCTCTTGAGAAACTTAGAAGCCTGCAACCACACATTGAGAGCCTTGTGGAGGAAGAGTTTCAGAAACTTATAACCGCATCATCATCATCCGAGCAGGGAATGAATGCAGACGACTTGAACAAAGGTATCACACTGACTTGCCTCATTCAACTGAACCATATTTGATACTTAAAAGCTTATTTGATACTTTGATTGGCCCACTTACAGTGTAAGCTTGTGCACACTTAACCCAGGTTGGACTCCGTTGTGTACACATGCAACGGAGTCCAGGGTATGAATCTCTCCTGCCATAGCGAAACAAATTATAACACATTTTTTGCATATTTTTACCTGACGGAGGAAGCTGAAATTTCGCTTACATATTCCTTGTGTCCAGAATTGTACCTGCGCTGGGTTAAGGAAAGGCAAATATGTCCGTGGGGGGGGGGTGTGTTTACCAAAAATAAACCGCAATCCCACGCTTTCGTTGAAAACATTTTCAGAATGAACTCCCCGTGTGAAGATTACGTGTGCGCGTGCATGCACACTACGCACGAGCACGCCACGGCAGCAAGCGGCAGCAAACGGCACGCGCTTGTACGTTTTCACGCGGGGAGTTCGTACTGAAATTGTTTTCAACGAAAACGTAGAACTTGCGGTTTATTTTTGGTAAACATGCGGCCCATGGACATATTTGCTTTTCTAAACCCAGCGCATGCACCATTCTGAACACAAGGAATATATAAGCGAAATTTCAGCTTCCTCCGTCAGGTAAAAATATGAAAAAAAAATATGTGTCAAATTTTTTTTTCGCCATGATGGAACAATTTTTACCCTAGACGTCAGTCATAACATAATGCAATGAAGATGTCGTCCAACCTCGGCTAGTGCACACTGCAACTCTCCACATTGTAACTTAATTGGAAGGAGTTAGGAACACAGCCCTTTAGAGAGCCGTGTTGAAGTCAAGTCCGTCAAGCGTCCACCACAAGTGTAAATTACAATGGCAGTCCACGCATGTGGTCACAAGTAGCTTGTCACTTGACATTTGAACTGAATAACTTGAGATTGACTTGTGATGGAGTTGTGAAGACTCAACTACAACACTAACAGAGTAGTTGGCAACCTCCTGGGCATTTGCGAAACCCTGTCCTCATGTAGAATAAACACGACAACAGGGTTTCAAATGATGAGAACCAACACGCAAACAGTGTTTACTTACAGGATTATCACTCCCCACTTATTGGGAAGTAGTTGGAGAACATCGAGAACAAAAATGGCGGATATATTGTAAGTTGCTTTAATTTGTTGTGAAAACACTTAATTTAGTGCAGGAACAGTAATTATTAAAAATTATAATTGTACACGAGCATCGAGTGGGCTTGTCTTTGCCAATTTTTATAGCTGTTTGGAGATTTAAATTATTTTCATCAGGTCCTTTGGTTTTTCTTTCTTTTCATTCCACATTTTAATATGCCGACTGCCATCTGGAATGCTTGCCCAGCTGCGCTCAACACGCACTTGGGTGTTTGTAATCAGTTACCCGAGAACACCAGGTCAATCCAGAACGGAGATTTGAATACGCCCCCTGTGTCTGCCCTTTTGTCACTGAGCTGTCTTTGGAAAATGATTGTTCATGTCTGTCTTTGTACAGTGTCCAGCCTGCTGGAGTCCAGTGATCTCATCAGGGGCTTCCTAAGAAGCAACTTCCTTCAAATCCTCTCCTCTGTTGCCCTAACTCTATGCTGTGAGGTAGAGACACAGAGCACACCGGACACCGGCTGTGTTCAGCCCAGCAGAGTACCGGCTATGGATGCATGTTACCAAGCAGCCAAGGTAATGATGGAAGAAACCTACACAGAAAACTGCGAGGCATTTTATGTTATGTGTAAGGCTGCACTCAAAACAACTATGCTTTGTCTGATGGTAACACCTGTGTTATAGGGAAAGGCTCCAGCAGTTTTCCATAGACGCTTGTATAATTGCAAACCATAGACATTGTAATTCAGATGCAGTGTTGTAGGCTCTCATCCGAAGTTTAGCTCATACTTGAATTTAATAACCAATGGTTTTTGCTCTGAAAAGTTGCTCCAGAGTCAAAGCAGATATCAGATTTATTCAGGTTGCAACTTTTAAACTTAAGGTGCATTTTCTATTTGAAAATTACTGTTGGAGAAGTACTTTGCAAGGTATGATTTCAAGTTGGACCGGTCTTTATCCTCTTCTGTAAGGTTTTGTTGTCTTAAAATTAAAGCCTTCAGAAATAGAAACATGTTACTCAAAACGTCCTAATTTCTGGTTCACAATCATTCATTCCTAATATCTGGTTCAAAACCATTGTCGTTGTGACAGGTAACATGCTGTCTGGAAAACCTTTTTGAAATATGAAGGTTCTACATTTGAGCAGATTTGCTAATTAATTATGCAAGACAACGGCATCTTGACCTCTAGATTTTGACCAATCAGCGAGCGCTTTCTATATCGGGTCTTCGGTCATTCACCGTTGTCGCGTCATAGACATGGATAAAAAAAAACACCCTAGCACAGCAACAAAGGGCTGTGGTCACGCGCTCTGTGTTATGTTATGCGACACGCACCCGGCTGTTGTTGTATTACAAAACACTGCATTAGAATTGACCAATCACAGTTTTAGTCCTGATTTGGGACTGAAATGACGTCATGATTTAGTACAGTCGACTCCGATTGGCTGAGGAGCGAGATCGCATAAATCTGCATGCTTTGACATATCAGACGTTATACAGGAGACTTGGCTCCGTGGATAACGGGTGATACTCGGACTAGTCATGTAATGGAATTTACATCAATATCAAAAGTAAGAAAGATGAAAGAGCTTTTTTTACTAATAGATGTCAAACTTCATAGGCAGCATTTTTGGTCACTGTGTGATTTTCATTACTTTATGTTTGTTTGTGAAGGTGTTTCTGCAAATGTGCCAGCATGGCCAGGATGATCTTCAACCGTTACTATGGGAACCAAGTAACGGTTGTCATGAGGACCTGTATCTGATTATTTCAGGTCTACTCACTCTGTTGGAGGATCAGGTAACATTAAAATATGTGTATATAGTGGAGACCCCTAACGTGGTGCACTTCAATGTTTACCCTGACTTTCCGCAGTGTTCTCAATCCTCGATCTTGACAAGCTTCAAATTCATTCAGTTAAATATTGGAACAAATAATGTTTATAAATAATAAAAAACGATGGCATCTGGTAATTGGGTACAAACTGGTGTAAAGGCGAAAAATCAAAGTTAGGGGCTGCGCCATGTTAGGGGACAACAAAAATAGTCCTTTATTAAGTTTCGTATGACTATCAATTTGTCGTGCATTTTTGTGAGAAACTACCAATTATTAAACAGTGCGCACGGGCAAATTAGATCATGACTTTTGGGTTTTGTGACCACGGTTGTTTGGTCAAACATAGTCCCAAGCACTGTGAAGAATACACACAAATACAAAGTGGGTGGGGCATATATCAAAATCCTGAACAGTCCATTGTCAGGGTTCTGTTGAGAGAGGGCAAGTCAAAAGTCAAAACTTTTACTAGAATGGATTATGTTTCACTGGTCATTGTATTGTCCATTTTTCAGCGGTTTTCCAAAGACTGTGGTCTGATGGCTGGTAGTTCCCTAGCCATGATGTTGAACTCGGCCCCTGACCCAAGACAAGCTGCAGTGGCTGTAGCTAACCTACTGGACAGATATTCAAGACAACAAAGTAAGAGTTTAATCAACCATTGACACTTGTCTTCTGTTTTATGGACCTTATGCGTAGTGGCCATCTAAGAGGGCATCTTTTGTTATTTTAATTCAGTAACAATGAATGCACACATTCGCTCGTGCATATCCCAGCAAAACAAAGACATTGCACCCTAAGATGGCTGCCACACATAAAGTCTGTTTAGTACTGGGACGATTCTGGGCAACATAACAGGAAACAGGCAGGGCATTTGTGGTGCTACAGGAGGTCCATGTAATGAGTTAAAAAGACATTGATATTTTTGGCAAGAGACATGGAATCTCCACTTTAGCTGTGTGTTTTTGTTGGATGTTTTTAACTGAATTGGTGTCAGAATAGAGGCGAATTGTAAAGTAATACAGCAAATGATTTGTGTAGTGGGTGATTTTTAATTGGATACTGTGGCAAAAAAAAAAATATGCATAACACTAGTTATGACGTGCCAACTCTGTGATTCACTGTGTGATGCCTTGTGTGGCGGGCGATGAACCTCGTGTTGCGACAGGAAACAAGCTTGCTGTATCGCTTCCAGTATGAGCGGTACAACCTCGAAATAATTTCATGAACACGGACAATACATACACAGACAAGAAGAGAGATGTTCTGTGAATTAACATGAAGAAATCTGCTTTCTCCATGTTTACTTGGCATTATTGTGAATTCAAGTCCGACCTGCAACTGCAGCGCACTCTGCAGTTTTATGCTACGTTGCCCGGCATTTTTTCTTAGACTGGATGCCACATTTCCATCATGCTTTCTTTGGCCCTTTTTGTGTGCGATGCGGCGGGAACCAGTGTGGCATTGCTGCATTGAGTATTACGCACATGTTTTCATCACCGCGATAGCGAATCATAAAGGGAACTTGTAATCGCAAAGGGAACTTGTAAAAACAACAGGGATTTCTTCTCAAAAATAGCAAATGTAAGCAGGCAAACAAATAAATACAAGCGTAAAAAGGTTGTTGAGAGGTGTTTCATTCAGACGGAAAAGACAACATAATTTTTTTTTTTGTATTTTTTTTTTACTTTTAACCAATAAAATGTTTAAGGCTGGGGCTGTAAAAAAGAATAGGTCGGTATAAACTGGAAGTAGAAGTATTTTGTTTTTGGCCTGATAATTGTTGGTGTTTTGTCATAGGTTACACCTTGATTGTTTTGTTTTTGTTCTGTTTAGTCAAGTTATGAGCATAATGAACCTTTGTTTTGTTTTCCTATTTTGTCCCATATTTTTTTCTTTTTTGAGGTTAATCAAATTAAAAATAAGAATCTGTGTGAGGCGTTTTGTCAAAATGAGACAGAACTGGGCACAGGCCGTAGTGGAGAAAAATGGGGAAATAATGATTTTTAAATTTTTTTTTGTATTTTTAATTTTTTTTTATTTTTAGATGGATTGATCTTGATGTGTTTACTTCATATGTTTTAAAGAAATAGTTCAAAAATCGTGGAATAAATTTTTTTTTTATGTTCTCTTTCCTATTACCCGCAAACCCTCATTTCGAAATCTGCCCAATTGTGTCTCAATTTTGTCAGAACGCCTTACAAAATTTAAGAAACTTGTCCTGCCTTTTTCAAAGTAAAAACTGTTAAAATGCCTGAAACGTCCCGCAGACTTATTTATGGTGATCTTGTCGTGCTCATCTAAATCTCTTGCCTGATTTCTCAAGGTGACAGAGGCCCCCAGACCTTACAGATTGGACAGTTTGTGCTGAGTGCCACACCTATGGAGCCCCTCCCACCCTTGAAGCCACTCCCACCTTCTTCCATGATGTTCCCTCAGCTTGCCGTTACTAGAGGCGTTCTAACGTGCTGCAACAAGGCGATACTGTTGGAAGATGTGTCGGCCAATCAAGAGGTTTGTTACTGCACTGAAGTGGAAACTGTAGGGGGCGCTGTTCAGCCTACTTGGGGCGCTGTTCAGCCTACATTGCATACGCAGCTTGTTTGCACGTAGCGTGTAGATCACAGTAGTAATTTGAAATGTGCACAAACCCATACCATCTTTGCATGAGTGGTGTGTATTAGTATCCAGGTACCCGTTAAAAAAAAAGGTCTTTTCAAAACTGAAGACGACAAAGAACCCCAACCTGGTACATTTCCTCAGTTGTCAGGAACTTTAAGTCCTTAACAAAAAGTGGCAGTGTGAAGATTGGTGGTATCTGAAGGGCTTTATAGCTTTACGGTGTAAACTGCAACTCTCACAAGCTAAAATACACAATGTTTTCACAATGTCCGGCATTAAAATGCACATAAACGTGAAATGTGTTTTGGTTTTTCCATGTAGCCTGGTTTTCATCTTGAAAATTCCCCACAAATGTGATTGAAAACCTTTTTTTTCATTGTCGTCAGTTGCATATGGGTACCTGATTCCATAATCTGGAGTTGGTTCCTGACTTCAGCGGCAAGTTACTCAGATACCCGGTTCTGATGCACACCCCTAGACCTACAATTACAAGGCATTCAACTTCCTGTGAATTTCTGCAGGTTGTCAATTTTGACAGCGTTTCTTATGTCATGTTTATTTTCCCCTCTAGGCAGTGGCTAAATCTCAACTTGGCTGTGCAGTCTTACACTGGCATCTAGTTCCTCTAACATACACCGTTGTAGTTAGCAATGCATCAAAACGAGAACTCCATCAAATTGAAATGCAACTTTTCCTCGGATCCGCTGATTGCCTCGTTTTTTACTTCTCATGAATGACATTACAAATTGAAATATACTGTACAAAGTCTTTAGGCCATCAGCCTTGGTCCGAAATTTTGGCCACCTGTATCAAATGAGGGGAATAATCGTCATTGCGATTTTTGGCAAGGTATACACCTCCAGAGTTGGAAAATATGTGATAGCATTGCAGCGGTGGCAGCTTTTTGGGTGTTATCACCCTTTTTTTCAAAATGTCCATCAAAATGCTTGTTACCACTCTAGGGGCGGTATACCTTGCGCATGCCCACTATAATCATTTATGCCCTGATTTGATACTGGCCAAACCCCCAGGCTGATGGCCTACTTGTGTGGTTTGGAGTTTCCTCGTTTTTTTCTAAATTCCCAGTTGCATGCTTGATTATCATATAGCTTGAATCATCTGAAAGTAATGATTATTTTGCGTTGTGTTCTCTTCTTTCAGCACCATCTCCTTTGCACCGAGGTACTCTTTCCTGTGGTGTGTGATTTATGCAAGGCGGCGGATGGGGAGTTGAAATATCATGCAAGCGAAGGTATGAAACATTCTTCAGTTCATTACATTTGATTCATCATAGGGAGTGTGTCATCGCTTGGGATGTTGATTCAGTAACATGGCCAACTTGGGAGAAAAAAAAGATGGCCAAGTTGATGTCCTTCAGGGAGTTGATCCAATTCAGTGGTGCTGCTAAGTACAGGACTTATTGGCTGTCATGCAATGTTCATTTCTTGCAAATGGTTCTCAGCTGATTCCTGCTAAACAATATGAATAAGTAGCAGATCCATTGAATTGAGGACCAACAGGTGATTAATAAGGGAATAAATATGTGCTTGGCCGGTTTTAAAGGGAATGTACATCATTTGCTTTTGCTGTAATTTTCAGAAATGGATGGAATTGGGGGGTTGGAAATATATAGCAAATATAGTTACACTGACTTTTTTGAGGTTTTGGGTTCGAAAATGCTATAAAAACCAAGAAAAACAATCATTTTCCTGTAGTGTGGTTCCCTGACTCCATTTAAGAAGAAACAGAGCAGTTTACATATATTGGGGAATTGTAAGGTCAGGGAACCAGTCTAGCTGGCTTGTACCCGTTCATAGGTGTGTAATCGATTGCAAGCAAGTGCGATGGTCAACTGGGGCCAGTATTTGAAAAAAAAAGCCAGTTTTTTCCAACGCTGATCGGCCGATCAGCGTTGGAAATTGATACAAAAATACCACTGTTCTTGAAAATGACAGTATACCAGGTGCCATGATTTTACAGGATGCTTTACACTGTCGTTCACTAACAGTCCAGCAAGGTATTTCAAAATGATTTGGTAGTTTTATTTGTTGATGTTTGCAAATGTTGTATTTTCCCTTTAAATGGGTACTTGTAAAACCAGCTAGGGGCCTCGACAAAGATGATAACCATCGCCGTCAGCTCGGCCCATTATCCGCATCCAGGCCCCCAGTCGGTTTGAAACGTACTTGTTGAAAACCAGCCAAGAACATATTTCTTCTCAATCATAAATACCTTTTGTTCAAAAAAGTCAATCAACAATTCACAAATTTTAAATGATTTTCTTCAACAGTTTTACTTCATGTTTTGTGAAACACCACTCTGGCCATATCTATGGCATGTGCCCCGCGCATGTAGCGCTAAAAATCTCCTTGCATGTGTATGGAAGTTAAAGTGTGCACGGCAGGTAATGCGCAATGTGGCGCAGAACTCAGTGGTGTTTTACTCAGCGATTGAAAACCACCCATGCGACCGGCTGTCAACCAGTAGGAATTGGTAAAATGTCTCTGGTATTTATGAATGTGGGATACCAGCCTATATGCATGCCCAATCCAGAAGGGCTTTCATCATCTAGGTGGAAGCATGCTGGGTACACAGTGCATCTCTGTACATGAATGCCTCTTGTTTGCTGAAAGAGAATTGGCATTGGGATACATTCCCAACAGTTGCAATTACATTCAAGCAATTTGACTTATAAAAGGCTCAGTCTGCAAACTAATATGTTTGAAAGTGAACCAAATGAAAATTCTCTTCCATCTTACAGACCCACAGCATCATTTGCATTTGCTCAGACAACTTTATGTTAATTTTCACCTGGACATTATTTTTTTCTCCACAGCTTTGAAACTTTACCTTCAAGCCCTGAAGCCCCTCCTTCCGACCCTCCTCAGAGAGTCGAGCCATCCTCGGCTTTTTGGCCCGGACACGGCCCATACTCGGGCTGTCTTGCAGCTAGTGTGGCAGGAGTGGCAGAGTCCAGTGGATGGAGTGGCTGAAATGATCCGGTCAGCCTTGACCAACTTACTGGACCTACACCATCAGGAGAACAAGGGGAGAGACAGTGAGAACTCTCAGGTATGTTCTCAGAACAAAACATGTCTGATGATAGTGTCCTAAACCTAGTACGGGCCCGTCTCGGACGAGTGTCAGACAAGTTGCGGACATTGTGTTGGGAGTATCGAAAGTTGTAGGATTCTGAATGCAATGAAGTTATCAGTATTGGTGAGTCAAGCAGTTGTTGATGAAAATTGTTCTGGAACAAAGTGAACGATTCTACCCGCAACTTTTCAGAAACTCGTCCCGGATATGCATTGAGACGGGCCAAAGGAAGGGCTAGTTATTTGGGAGCTGACAGCAGCCAGTTGTTTGAAGAGCTGCTTGCAAAAACTAATCTGCTGAAGCACAAAAAGGTTTTCCGTCCTAAATAAGTAATTTTACATCAGGCTATCTGCCGTGTTACTTGTTATTAATTGTTCTGACTTGACTAAAGAGATAGGGTGTTTTGTTTAAAGGTTGTGGCTTGCATTCAGCGATCAGGGGTTCGAATCATGCCACTGGCCAAATGTGCTGTCCTTGGGCAAGCCACTTTACACCCGTTCGTTATTCAACAACACCATATATATGAGTGCTCATTAGCTTAGGAGTAACTTGCAATGGACTGGCATCTCATCCAGGATAGTAGAACTATTCTGTATTGTTGCAGGCTATGGAAATAAGAGTTAAACAAAAGTCCGATGAGTTTATAGATTCTAGACTTTTCAAGTTTTCATTAAGTGGCCTTGATCTCTTGCTTGCATAACACAGCTGCTAGACTCCATCACCAGCAGTCTCCTGAACACAGCGTGGCACGTCAAGGGCCGGTACCACCTCCTGACTAGTATAGTACCCCGCATCAGCGCCCTCCATCTCCTGCAAACTCGGCCGAACCTCCCCAAGGAACTCCTGCGCTGTCTGGGGACTAACTATCTTGCCGCGGCAGCCACGGAGCTGCACAATGCGCTGGTACGGAGGCTAAAGGAGGAGGTTGTCACAAAGAGGAGGGAGACTGGAGGACAGAGACTAGGAGATGATAAGGAGATGTTGGCAGAGAGATGGGGAAGCCTGTGGAAAGATGTAATGCTGGAAGGGATATGCAGCGATGATAGGTAAGAAGCTGAACATATGATTGTCATATATGGCAGCTCTTGGCCTCAAAATTTTCATGTGTGTTGTGGTTCTGCAGCATCGAAAATTGGTACAACTGTCTGGTCAGAAAGTATCTTGGAAAGAAGAGGGGTCTCCAGACACTGTGACGCTAAAATATTTTCTAGCTCTTTTTCCACAATTTTTAAATAATACAACTAACGACAAGCAGAAATTTCCCAACAATTTATAAGACAGACTACTGAAATGAACCTTCTTATGAAAAAGGTTGCCTGAAATTTGTCCAAAAGTGAATGACACAATAAAATACCAAATAAGCAGTTAATACAAATGATGTCGGGTATGGGCACATATTTAACAAAAATGTCTTTGCAAAAATACATGTATATAAGTACTATACATTAGAAAAGGTGGAAGACACTATTACGAGAACATTGCGTATCGCTGTGTTGTTTTATTGGTAACGTTTCGAGAAGTATTACTATACATATATGTTAAAATACATATATGTTAAAAAAAATTATAAGAACATGGGAAAGACAATTGAACATAGAACAAATCAAACATTTCAAGTTAAAACAAAGGATTTTGTCAATGGGGATCAAAACTGGATCAGTATTGGCATGGCTAGGCAAGGCAGCAATGAAACAAAATCCCACAGCAAATCAAAATAATGACAAGATTTTTTTGTAATGGTAGTGCACAATTTGAGGGCATTTTATGACATCTGCTGAAGACTTTCCCATTCGGTGTTGCTTTATCCTAGCTTGGTGAGATACCACACTGCCAAGTACTGGCTTCCTGCTGCCTTGAAGAGCTTCCCCGGTTGCTTTCACTTCCTCATGAGAGAGTTGGTCAAAGCATCAACAGACCAGCCTTTGGAAAAACAAGTTGATGAAGCTGACGTCAGACAACTACATGCGCGCATCGTCCTTCTCAAATACGCAAGGATCAACAGCCTGCTGGATGCTGATTGGTTTGTAAGTTTGTTAACCACCCCGAAAGTTGCGAGCGAGTCAACCGCAAGTCACCACAAGACATCCAGTGTCAAGTCAAAATTATTTTGTTTATTTTATGAAACCAAGATTCCTCAGAAGCGCTCTAGGCACTGTAGCTCACAAGCCTGAAGAAACTTGTAGAGAGAAGACAGTGAAGGAATTACAGTGTTTGAGGTGGGAGGAAAACCCAAGAAAAAAATTCTGGGGAAACCCGCGGGATCGGGTAGAGACTGAAAACCTAATCCTCGTGTGGACCAGGGAAAGGAATCGAACCCGGGCCATAGAGGTGGAAGGCAGTGAAAGAATCACTTTTTCAACCTGACTTCCCTGAGGAAGTAACGAAGATATTTTTGTGTCCTTGTTCATCCCCTGTTTCGTGTGACCTGACTTGTGAATTGACTTGTGATTGGATTTTTGCAATTTCAACTCTTTTTTGTGTGCAAATACCAGTTGAACATGTAACAGATACTAACAGAAGTTACTGATAACTTTAATAACACAAGTGTGTGAAATTTCAGCTTTAAAGCTGATTTCAGCTTTTTTTGTTTTGGATTTCAGCTTTTTTCCCTCACTTGCTGTGTACAAAAGATAGGAGATTTCCAAAGTTCAGTTTTTTTTTTACACATTTTTTCAGCTGTTTTCAGCTATTTTTATCGATGGTCACTCACACCCCTGAATTAACACATAGTGGGTATTCTTTTTTTTTATAAAGCTCACGTATCCGCCAGGACTCGTGCTCAATGCCCTACATCCTTATTGCCCCTGCTCATTGGGCCCATGAAACATTCCAAATACCATCTCAGCTCCCTGGGGAGTATACAGCTCTCGATGCTGCCATTTCGGCGCAAAGCAGGTTAATCAACCACAGTAACCGTCTCTGCCCTCACAGGTACCCATTTTACTCCTGGGTGGAGAGAAGCAATGAGTGACAAAGTGCCTTGCCCAAGGGCACACACACCATGACCCGAGGCTGGACTCAAACCCACAACCTGCAGCTTTACCTGCAGACCACAAATCCAATGCCCTTAACCATGAGGCCACAGCACTAGCTAGCCTGCATGACTTTTTAACTGTTTAGGCCTTCCTGAAATGTGAAAATCAGTTGGCCTCATAGTTTGAAGCATTTTTTTATTGCCAAAGGTTTTGGTCATATTTTTTGCCCAGTAAGAGAAAAGAGTAATGTTCAGAAGCAAATGGGTTTACCTGTCATCTTATTGAAGCCAGAGTCAGGAATAACACTTCTTTCTTATCCCACCTCAGGACACATATCACAACACCATCTCAGCTGGACTCTGGCACACAGAGGATGAAATCCAAGCAGACGCCTTTGCTTGTCTCTGCTGCTCCCCAAAGAAATCAGAGCTTCCCTCGGATGCGGAGATGCGCTTGTTCCGCGAAACCCTACCTCACTTCCTGAACTCGGACTCGGCAGCCTTCCGCAACCAGCTGCGACACAACACGGGCGCGTTCGTCGCTAGGACGTGCGACGGCGGTCTAGTGCTGGTGAAACATCTCAAAAAACTCAGGGCAAAAACGGAGATAAGAAATCTCCATCAGGAGAAGGATGACACAAAAGTAGACAGTGTAGAAAAACCGAAAAGAAATGCTGCAGGTGTCAAGAAAGGACTCTCTGAAATTGAGAAAGAGCAGGTGTCAGCTCTTAAGGAAAGACTCCTCCAAGCACTGGACTGCCTGGATTGGTTAGCTGAAGTCTGTTTTGTGTCTCTGTTCCCCGGAGCATGCTACCAACGGAAGCGGACAGCCCATGATATTCTAGGAGTTGTATTTGAAGCTTTGCTGGGTGATAAGCAGCAGAAGTCCAAAGGTACACAAGTTGATACTTTGTTTTGATCTACTACAGACACCAAACACTGCAGGGTGATCCAAACAACTGCAACCCTGAAACATTTGCCTTTTTTCAAAAAAGCGATATGGGAAGTTTTAAGTTTTGGGTATCGGATTAGAGCTGAGAGTTTTTTCTTTCAAATACTGAAAAAATCATGAAAACAGCACATTGGGTTGCTGAGAAAATGCCAATTATGTAAAAGAAGTGTTTTTTAGTTCGTTCCAAAAGTGCTTCAAACATGTTACCGTAAGCCCACTGTGCAATTGACCTATCGCAGTAGAATCACGGTAGAAATGCGTCAACGCAGCTTGTGAAATGTTGTCCAATTACATGATATACAAAATGCGGAATGCGCAAAATCTGAGACAAACAAAACTTAACGTACAAAATTCCATATGGTTGTCTAAGGGGCGTGGCCAACTCGCAAACGGCGATAGGTCAATTGTCTTTCATTTGTGCAATTTCTTTAACATTATGACATATTTATAATGCTGAAAAGGTTTACATTAGGACTAAAAAGGATGTGATACCTGTTTAGTGGAAAAGTAAAGGTATTTCCATCAAATTAATTTGTACTCTTGTCATATTATGTGCCGTGTTGTTTGTAAGGATTAGGACACAATGCGCTACATGCATTTCATGCACAAATAGGTACAGTACAGTGTAAATCCCTTAAACATGGTAATGCCATTGGAACGGACGAAAAATCACTTCTTTTATATAATTGGCATTTTCTCAGCAACCCAAATGTGCTGTTTTCATAACGTGTTTTTTTCAACGAAAAAGCTCTCAGCATTAATCTGATATCCAAAACATAAACATTCACAGATCACATTTTTGAAAAAAAAAGCCAAACGTTTCAGGGTTGCCTTTTTTGGTTCACCCTGTACAGACTCCAAACACTGGCTTGGTAATGTGGCTCTTACCTTTGATCTGGCTGCGTTTTACAATTTGTTTCAACAGAAATTTCTTCTGATTACCCCCTCAGATACTTCTTCAGAGAATTTGATGGCATGGGCTTTAGCCCATGGAAAATGCAACTTGCTCTCTGCAAGGTATGTATACCTGTTTTTTTTTACTTGCGATAGGAGTTTTTTTTACTTGGGAACATCTTTCATTCAACTAAAATGTATGAAAACTATTTGACATCCCTTTTTGGTTAGTTTTTTTTTTTTAAAGTGCACTTCTATAAACATTAAAATGTCCCATGCTTTTTCTGACAACTGAGGGCGTTGTTGCTGTGACATCATTTTAGGAACACACTCTTCTGTTCAAATTGTGAACCAAAAGATTTGCTCATTGAAAACATTTGTGAGAAAGTTTTCTCGTTATTTTAATGACCTGTTCCGAAGCAACAACGAATAGCAAAAAAAGATAGAAAATTTACAACAGCAAAATATCCGAAATTCCGGGAACTTTTGGTGCTAAAATAGCTGTAACACTGAGATTACAGCCTAATAATACTTCACACTTTTTCTCATGAATATTGAAATTTGCTTTAGCATAAAAACAAAAAAAGGAAGCAAATTACACTTGAAAATAGCAAAAGGAAAATTTAAAATAAAGTTAAATGGGACACAAAGGTGTATTTTCAAGGATCGTATTAAAAACAATTATAATTAATGGGCCCTTTAAGCTTCAAATGTAATCTTTAATATAATGTAGTTCAGCCTGCCTCTGAAACACCAGTCTGAAATGTATGTCGCCACTTTCTTTCACAGGAATGCATCTCTACTCCTAGAATGCATCCAAGATGGCTCCAACGACCTGAGGTCATCGTCATACCATCTCCTCTCCACCTACTACCCAGCTGCTCTACCCTCCTCCCCTGCCTACCCACAAACCTCCTCCTCCCAAGTCATGTGCCTGGCCTTGCAGCTGGTGTCTAGCCCCAAGGTGCAGGAGAGCGAGGCAGGGGCACTGCTCACCAAGCGGATATTCTACAAGTACGTGGCTTGAATCTTTTATTTTTCTTCATAGCTAAAGCATTTTACTTTAAACAATTCATAAGATGGAATTTGCGTCGGGGTGATGTAAATCAATATTAGGTTTTGCCCTTCACCGACGTACAAACACTGTATACTCAGTGTGTTACCTCCCGAGTGAAAGTTGGACAAATTGCTCGGGTGGGACTCGAACCCACAACCTCATAAGATGGTATACAGTGTTTATATGTTGGTGGAGGGCAAAAACTTTATATTGTTTTCCATCACCTCAACGCAAATTCCATCTTATGAGTTGTTTAATTGCGGTACCCGCTGCTACATGTGAATCAGATTCGAACCAGCCAACCGGTACCCTCTTTTGACAAATAGTGAACTGGCATTTCTCACATCCCAAATTGCCAAGTGGCCGAAATAGCGTTTAATACAACCGGTGAATTTATTGTTAATCAGTTGACTTTTTTCAACAACAGTGGTATTAAAACTGGGAGCCAAGGATGATGTTCGGTATAGCCGAATGTTCCGTATAGGGGTGTTCGGTATAGCAGCGCTCCATTGTATTCATAGACATTAACCCTAACCCTGTCAGACGTAACACAGTGCATCAGGTGTAAAATTCTGTGGGACCTTGCTGGATTTAGCCTTAAGCACAAGTGCATAAATGGCCAATTCTGAATCAAATGAGAGCTAGTCCCATTGACTGGTGCCACAGTTGCATCCTGCTGTAGTTGGTGACCACAGACTCGGAGGCACTTTGGCCTTGAGATTTTTTACCCGATGGATCTTGCTACAATGAGCAGACTTGTAATTTTGACAAGCGTTGCATGTTGCTGCATTCAGCAGGGTTTCTAGCCGAAATAGCCCCTAGGGGGATAGGTTAAGCCTGCTGTTATCGGGCAATGTGTTTTGTACCTTAAAAAGCATTTTTGTGTAACCTCAAGTTGTAAACAAAATTATTATTTATCAGACGCTGTACACATTGGGATCGAACAGAGAAGGCAAAAGTGCATATTGAATGCACATATTTTTGAGTGTCTTGAAGTAAAAATGTATTGTCAATAAAATGTTGTGTTATTTATTTAATTCTTATTTTAACTGGGTAGCCCATTCAGTGGAATCCACTGGTTTCCCAGTAAAGAGAAGACAATGTGAAGAAATTACAGTTTTAGATGTGGGAGGAAAACCCACAGAATCAAGTAGGAACTGAAAACCCAATCCACATATTGGCCCAGAAAGGATTTGAACCGAGGTCACATCAGTGGAAGGCGAGGAAAGTACCACTTGTCCAACCTGACTCCCTTGGTAGGTAAATAAGCTTGGAGGTCATAATCAATGAAATTCAAAGCTTTTTGGATTTTAGCTTTTTACATTCATTTTCCAACAGACACTCAGTGGTCAAGTGCCTCAAGAAACTTGACAGTGACCTCAGCACCCCTCCCGGCTCGCCGGTCAAATCCAACGGCCCCTCTGCTGAGAATGGACCGGTCCATTTTGTGGAGAGTTTGTTAACGAGCCTGGCGTACCAGTTGAAGTGCTGCAAGAAAAACCTGCTGCAGGCTGCAGCGGTTACACCCATGCACGGTAAAGCTGTGTCCGTTTTTGCAGCACTATTGGCTGTTCCAAAAAAACAAACACTCGAAGCGCCCTCTTTTTCTCAGTTTTATAAAGCACAGGTCAAATTTGTTTTGATTTGACCCTAAACCTTAAATCATTTAGCTTTTTTGGCCGGGATTATTTTGACGTTGACCGGACCCAGGCGCAGGATTGTTTTTCACAAACCTCGATGCCAGACGGGTTCAGGCCGTCATCTGCGGGTAGCACACCCTGATATTTCCGGCCTCGCTCGCTGCAAGCAGGTCACAGACAGATATTTGAAGCCTTGCTCGCTGCGAGCATATTTCCGGCATCGCTCTTGGTGTGTTTATCCGTCATCCGTTCCGAAAACTGCAAAACCTTCGCGTGTATACCCGTCATACGACGTGAACTGGTTAATATATCGAAAACATAATTTCAATCAGTTCAAGACTTGTCGACATACCATTTGTATACCACTTGATACCAGTCTGTCTTTTCCCCCAAGGTTTGATACGTGCCATCCGAAGGTGCGTGACTGACCATCCATCCACGCTGGAGTGCATCTTTGCATCAGACCCTACCAACTGGTCCACCCTGATGCAGAAACTCCTGGCCACAGTTCAAGACATCACTGGCTTCATCCTCCTCATATTGTCCGGCCGAGACACGGCGAGCCCCGTCACGGAGGAGAATCGGGCTTCGACGACGATGATGGCGCCCTCATTTGGCCAGATGGGAGAGGCCATCGAGAAGCTGATAGCTGACCTAGCGGCCTACCGGGTTGGGGAAGGGGAGGAGTCAGGGGAAGGAGGGGGAGGCGGAGGAGAGGAGATGCTGGCACTGTCTGAGGAGCATCAGCTGATTCTGGCCTGCTGCTGGCTCAATCTCAAGGTGATCATTATTTATTTCAGGTCATCTTCCAAAAATGGTGTTTAAATGATGATCTTTTGCTCAAAAAAATTGCTCAAAGTGGTCAGAAATTGCCTCAGATCGCACCACAGAGCGTCTAGAATACACAATTTTCCGGGGTCCTAGGCGGCCCTCAAACCCCACGCCGTTAGGGCTTTGTGTTTCGTGCTCCCATTCGTTCTGATCAAACTCCAACGCCAAATTCTCACGCTCAGCTCTTACTCAAAGTTGGCAGCCCTGCAGACAATTACTGCTCTGTTTTAGTCGACGGTGTCAGCTATCTTTTTGCAAAGTATACAAATTATTTGCATAATACATTCAAAACCATAATAGGTATGATGTCATATTTTGCAGGAATGTAGTCTACTCCTTGGAGCTTTGGTGGAAACCATGCCGCTGTGCGGTGAAGATGACCCGGGTATCTTGACCTTTGACCAGCTGACCCTGATGGCCGACATCTTGGTGGATGTCCTGACCAGGTGCCGGCACAAGGTATTGTCTGCTGTAGAAATGTGGTGGAAACCCCCCAACCTAATAACTCGCTAGGGCTGTCCATTTTTGAATAATTAAGTATTCGATTATTCAAAACTGCACCTGACCGAATACTCAAATATTAGAAACTTGCCAATCAAGTTATACAGATGCCAGCTGAAGTTGCCTTCCTCGGTCAAAAGCTGCATACAAAGCGCGCTGGTTAAAATTTGCATGTTTATTATGGAACGCTGGAGTGTTTTGCAATTGCAGTAAGTACTGTATAACTGTCCAGGGACTTTACCTAGCTAAAAGAATGGGAACAATATATAGGTGTCAACGAGAAAATTGCCGTCGACAAAAAGGTACCTTCTGGCAATACAAACGTAACTTTATGATTAAAATGACACCACAGTCAAGTGCACATGTGCATAGTTTTCTCTTTTCGACTATTCAAACTGGCAAAAAGCTATTTGAATATTCAGATGATGATTGACTATTTGGTATAATCGGGACAGCCATATAACCGGCCCAAATACGTTGACAGTGTCAGAGCATTTAGCACTACGGTTAACCAAAGCTGTGATAAATTGTGCCTGAAAATGTTGTACACAAAGTATGGTTAATATTAAAGACGAGGAGAGTACAGGCTGGATATTCTTTCAGGTTGGGAGTCAGGTTGGCATAGTGGTACTTTCCTCGCCTTCCACTGCTGTGACCCGGGTGCGAATCCCGTCTGGACCACATGTGGATTGGGTTTTTAGTCCCTACCTGAATCCGTGGGTTTTCCCCAGAATATTCTTAAGGGGTTTCGTCCCTTCTCTAAAGCTGTAATTAGGTGTTGGGCCTCAGCCCAACACCTATTGTTATTGTAAGAATTTACTATTTTTTTTATTATTCTTCTAGACACATTCTTCTCCGGAACTGTTTGTCAAAATGAAAACATATATGAACTTCAATTGTCAATACATGAATGCACAACCAACTGAAGATGTGCTTTTTTGCAATTACGTCATCATGACATCATCATGGGTCACGTGACGTCACTTCAAAAAATAATCAATTTAATCTTTGAAATTCAATATAAAATCAACCGTCAGAGACCGCAACTTGAATTTTGCGGGAATCGACATGATAATATATAATCTTCATTTTATCTTGTGCGCGTAAAATCACGTGACCCTTCCTTCCGGTCGAAACCGGAAGTGCCTAATAATTTGAAAGTGGAAAAAGATATGAACTTGCTTTCAACGGTGTGGATGTCTGCCTGGATTGACCTTTCAAAAAAATAATTGGTGACGTCATGAAGAGTTGGAGCGCCCTCTAGCGGCAGGTTAAAAAACGCGAAAAACGCATTTTCACTTGATGTCTGTGGCGAAGTTTGCGGTAATCGCTTCAAAATTAATGTACATGATGACCATAATGCAGACAACACCTGTGCGCGAAAAAAAATTGATTACGTCATCAGACCGGAAGTTACAATAAAAAGACCTTTAAACCTTCAAAAATTGCTAAAAAATCAACCGTGATAGATATAATCAAGATTTGGCTAACTATAGCACAGTTAAAATAGCTCTTGAACTTTCTGGTAATGACGTCACAATGAAGTATCATATTACAAGCAATCAAAGATTTATAGATTTAATCTTTGAAAATCAATATAAAATCAACTGCTACAGATTTGATTTTGTTTTTTATAGCAATCGATACAATATTGCAGGGTCTTCATTTTTGGTATTAAGTGCAAAATCACTTGACCCTTCCTTCCGGTCGAAACAGGAAGTGCCTTATTATTTGAAATTGGCAGAAGATGCGAACTTGCTTTCAAAGATGTGAGTGTCTGTCTAGGCAGTACTGTACAAAAATTTTACAGGTGACGTCATCAAATGTTAGAGCGCCCTCTGGCGGCATGTTGAAAAATTCAAACATGGATTTAAACATGCATATTTTGAGTGGATGTGTGTGGCAAAGTCTGCGGTAATCCATGGCCCAACACCGTGTGGTTGTTAATACAACCTCTAGTTTCTCCTTAATGTCTCCTTGCTACAGGTTTCTTCAGGCTTGCGAGCTACAATGCCAAGGGCGCTTTTGAGGAATCCTTGGTTTCATTACCAGAAATATATAATGATAATAAAAATGATAACACTCCAGGCTTACTTGGACTGAGTAACTTGTTTCATTCCTACCTATCTCCAGGGTGCTATTGATGGCTGCAACCAGGGCTTTGCCAAGCTGTGCTCTCGTCTGCAGGCCAGTCACTGCCCCAAGCTCCAGGCCATACCCAAGACCATTTTGGACAGGGTTCTAGGGATGGTCACTCAAGTAGGGGCCGGGTCGTCGTTTACCAAGAAGAGTGCGGGGCTCCCCCTGTTGGTGGAGTCTATCGTCAGTGCTGAGCCCCGGGGGCGTGAGGTATGTCACTGAATGCATTGTGTCAGTGAAACATCTTACAGAATCAACACAGTTTTCGATAGAAAAAGATTACTGATAATAAATTATTGTAGCTCAAGGCAAGACATTGTTAGCCCTGCTCATCAAGTCATGAACCATTCCTAACACAACCTGAACTCTTCAGGAGTGTACATCTCAATACTGCCAATTTTAGCACAAACTGCTCAATTAAACATAATGACCACCCCTGGTAGTACTCACTTAAACTTTGGTAGGGAGAAGCAAATTTAGACAAACTGTCTTGCCTAAGAATACAGACACCGCAGCGCCACAAGCTAACTGATGGGTAATTTTCTACATTATGTCTCCAAAAAAATTGTCCGTCTGACTGTTTTTAATATAACTACAAAACAGTTAGGTCAATTTTGAAAATTGTTGGTTGTGCAACCTTGGCCTCAACCCCTATGAGTATTGACATTTTTTTGACACTTGTGACCAAGTTCCTTGCCTTAATCGATTTCAGTGCTGTGTTATGTAAGCTGTGAAAAATCCTGCATGTTGAGAAAAAAAGGCTGATGTGGTTTGGGATTGGAATCATTTGCCCTTGAACATTAATCTGATGTCTTGCCATGATGACTGATAGCCAGGCAAATAATTCAAATCCCAACTGCAGCCCTTTTCACGCAGTCTTTTTTGCATAATCGTCACTGAATCAGCTCACAGTAGAGGCCAGATTGCGCTGATATCGGCTGCTAAAAAGTGGTCTCGTGGCGTGATGAACAGGGGCAATAACTGTGAAGCGCTTTGAGATCTAGCTGAGGTCAGAAGCGCTATATGAGTGACACACATTATGACATGTTGTTGTGATTGTCATTTGCAGAGACCCTTACTGACCTACGTCATGAGGCAGCTGATGGACATAGCCAGCCAGCCCCTCCCACCCGACCCCAATGACAGGCTGGACCTACCCCAGGCCCACGCCCTCAACGTCATGATGGCACTCTTCCGCTGCTCCGCGGTGGGCACTGATATTTTAAGGCATTGCTCCTCGGCGGTGGAGATGGCCATTGGTGGGTTTGCCTCGCCCTGCTGGATGATCAGGAATTGCTCCATGAGACTATTTGGTGAGGGTTTTTTGTTTTGAAGGGTTAATTCTCGTTCCACTCTTTGCAGCCCTGCTGTTCTGTTTCAGTCAAGAGCTAAATTTTATTGTAAAAATAATTACAATTTAAAAACTTATCATTGGCAGACCTCTGAATTGCTAAGCCAGTCTTTCCATCGACCTACTCCCTCTTCCCAAATCATATGTCCAATAGCAATTTTCCTCTTCTGTTGTGGATATAATTCTGTCTAGTAACCTTTTATTAACCCAAATTCTACCGGGCAGCTTTTTTGAAGAAGATTCCTCAAAAATCCTCCGTTTGTGTAATAACAAAAAAAACCTGTGTTATAGTAATAGTTTGCTGTACAGTTCTGATTTCACCTTAAAGGGAATATACAACATTTGCAAACATCGAAATATAAAACTACCAAGTTTTTACGAAATACCTTACTAGGGTGTTGGTAAATGACAGTCTAAAGCATCCTGTAAAATTATGGCACCTGGTGTGAAGTCATTTTCAAGAAAATGGTATTTTTGTATACATTTCCAACGGTGGTCGGCCGACCACCGTTGGAAAAACCTAACTATTTTTCAACTACTGCTCCAACTTTACACTTTTTTCAGTCCAAATTTTGTTTGTTATTGGTTACATGTTCATTAACGGGTGCAGGCCAGCTAGACTGGTTCCCTTACCTTACAATTTTCCGGCATTTATAAATTGATCCATTTTATCTTTAGTGGAGTCAAGGAACCAGACTACTTGAACATTTTTGTTTTTCTTGGTTTTTCCAGCATTTTTTAACACAAAACTTCAAACATGTCAGTGTAACAATATTTGATCTATTATACTAACCCCTGAAATAGTTCATTTCTGAAAATTACAGCAAAAGCCAATGATGTACATTCCCTTTAAGCCGCCAACAGGTCGACCTGCAGTTTGCTTGCACTGCAATGGAACCATTGGCATCAGGCGTCAGCATTAGTTAAAGCGCAAAAGTTATTCTCAGATCACAAAACTGAGAAAGCATGTGATTGTTGTGGAGCAAGCGGCATCTTGACACAAAAAGTCGCAACCATGATCATGTCACCCACGACGCGACAACAATTCCGCGGCATAGACATGATCATGTGACTCCTTCAAAATGACAGTGTGCGTGTTGATAACAATCAGACGATCTTCCATGACCACGTTCGTTCATTCGACCATTTTTGCCACATGCTGATTGGCTACACAATGAAATAAAATGATCCTGATGCGTGCATGATGTTGTAACTTGTAACTTTACATAGGTCGACTGTGATTGATTCCCGCCTGTCAGGAACACGTTCTGTTAACATTTTTCCACTCTTGCGACTGTTAATTTTTTTTAGCACCCACTGATGCCAGTCATCTTAATACTATCGCAGATACACTCAAATCACAAAAAAAAAATCGGCGACTGATATGTTTCCGATGGTCGTAGGTCGGATGCAGCTTGATTCTGAAAAGTCAGTTGCCAACTGATCTGTGTCGTCCCAAGGTCGACCTGAGGGCGGGTTTAAATAGATTGTGACTTGCCTTGAAACCGGATGACTTTTGATTGACTGGTGATTAAACTTGTGATGAATTCAAATAAATCCAATCCTGATATCATACAGCGATGAATTAGATTTTAAAATGAATAATTTAGAACCCCCGCCCCATTGACTTATTGATTTCTCATTATAGGCACTCTGATTGCCCGCATATTCGGACAGAAGAAAGTTCAGGACGAGCACTCCCAAATCAACGCCATGTCAGCGGCCACATTCTTCACCCGCTACCCGACACTGAAGCAGTTCCTCCTTAAGGAGTTGAAGAAGTTCAACCGTGGAGGGGCGGAGCCAGGGAGCGAGGATGATGGGGTGATGAGGTCAAAGGTCACAGATGAGGAAAGAGGGCCAGAAGCCCTGGGACAGGAGCAAGGCAGAGAGGATGTTTTGAGCTGTACTGATGACACAGGCCTTGAGATTCTAAGAGATGCGCGCTTCCAGGAGGGCAGGGTAGAGTGCAGAGGGGAGAAGGGAAGGCTGTTCCTCCATCCAAGCTTACACCCTGTGCTGACTTTGCTGTCCAAGCTGGGGCCTGGTGTCGGCAGTGACGATGTTCAGTAAGTGGGGGTGTAAAAGAAGTGACTGAAAGAGAGGTGCTGTTCTGAGAAGTGAGAGAGGTGTTAACTTGATGTTTTTTGGGGTATTCTGACTAACAACAGAACAGGGACCAGTTTATGGCTGTAGCCAGAATTCTGGATTTTTCATGTTTTGGGGGTAAAATCTTTCTGGCATTCCATCCCTTTGCAGGCTGGAAAAATATATCCTTGTGTTGTGGGCAACGAGAAGAAAAGAAAATAGCTACCAGAAAATTTGTTGCACCTTGTTTGATCGTTGCTCATTTGCCAATAAGAAAATTGGTGTCTGCTATATGTTGTTTTAAGTGCCAGACTAGGCCTTCCAAGTGCGGTCGATCGAACTAATATTTTCTGTATGGATGCGCCACATTCACATGTGTACAGCAATTCCTAGTTTAAGGACTACTTCTACTGGAGAGTCTAGGGTCATTGCCATGGCAATTGCCATGCTAGTGTGAGACACGAATGCATGTATCGTAAGTTCTTTGTAGACATAAGTGTGCACCTATATATGGTATTACGATGTGAGTATGTATATTTTATTGCAATCGTTTTGTGCATGCGTGGCCGTATTTCATGTGTCAAATTTTCAGGCCCTGGAGCAAAGACCCACTGGCATCCATGGGAGAACAATAAATACTTGCAACTAGAAACAGTCTCTGAACATCATCCCATTCAGTTTTCCTCTTCACACCCTTCTGAAAGAGAAGGGTCCAACAACAGCTAATAATGAAGGCAGCTTATCATGGAAAAAAAAAATTGTTTTTGTTAACAACACATATCAACAAATTCTAATAGATCTCACTCATAGGACGCCATCTTTGTTGGAAAATTACAACTACGTATTCAACGCCATCAGGTGCATGTGCACGCAGTGTGCAAAATGTTCTAAACGCAGGCATGCTGCTTGAAATTTCTTTGAAAAACAACGCAGCCGATGCGAGCAACAATTTGACGCAATAAAATAAAATGCTAATGTACGTGGCAATCTGTAGGAAGTGACGTCATTTGATAGAGACCAATAGAAAATTGGTCATAGTTAGGATTGAGTGCTGTTTTGTTGATCCTCTGAGGGTCTGTATGCATTTTTTCAAACAGTCACAGTCTCTCAATGTGGTTTAGCCTCTTAAATCAACATTGATTTGATGACTTACAGGTCACTCCGTGAATTCATGCAACCGGTCCAACAGCTGGCCGGCAGTGCAATCTATGCAGTACGGGAGCTGGCGGCCCGCTCACTGGTTCCCCTCATACCGCAGTGCGACATGCCACAGAAGATCGCCGGTATCATCCACCAGCTGCCTAGCAGTGCCCAGTCCGTCCGAGATTTCAATCGTCTCCATGGAGACCTGCTACAGGTGGAGAAGTTGTTTGAGGCCGCCGAGCAGAATGAAAGGTAGACATAATGTCGTCAATAGGACTGTCCTTGGAGATCTACTTTTCTATTAGGATATCCGTTCCGTTCACAAGTACCCCCTCACCGACAAACAAAGTACAGTTGGGGGTGACCGACCAATGCCATTTTGCCTGACTGCAATTTTGCCGCGACGTGCGGCCGTACCACTGCGTGTACATAGTACAAATCCCCATGTGCACCTGCGTCACACACAAGGAACGGTGCACGTCAACCAGCTAAATGTCCCGCCCATGGGATGTCGTTGCTAGATAAAAGGGCGCCCTCTTTTGTTGGCGCACGGAGCTCATAGCTTACTGGGATCTTTTGTATGTGTTGCTGAGTATACCTGACTGTGTAGTTTTCAATGGTGAGAGTATTTTGCTGTTCCTCATCTCTATTATTTCACTAAGATTGTATGAACTAGGAGTAAATGTAATGTAATAAGGGAAACATATGTGCTTTGCCAGTTTTAAACAATTAAGTTTAAAACCGGCTTGGGGCCTGGATGCTGATAATGGACTGAGCCAAATGCGAGGGCCATTTTTGGCGACCAGCCTCTAGCCAGTTCTAAACATACTTGTTTAATACTGGCCAAGCATGTATTTATTCCTGTTCATTAATATACCTTTTCGGTCAAAGTCCAACAATTTTGTTCAACAAGATTATTTCATGTTTTTAGAAACACCCCTCTAGCTATGTTATGCTATGTGCCTCTCACGAGTAGTCGTAAACAACTCCCAATATGGAGATTGGCGCATGCCTTGCACATACTGCGTGATGTGGCGCAGAACACAGCTGTGTCGGTGTAGTGTGAATTTAGGATTGCGAAATACAGAGTCCTTGGTAGTATCGCACATGCCTAACTGAGGATTGTGAATGTCCAACCCATAAATTAATTAGGGTAAATTGCACTGGATTTCATAGGAGTCCAAAGTTCATCTGACACTTGAAAAGTGTTAGAGATTAGCCAGCCAGTGTTTTATCGACCATTTAAGACTGGCCACATGACGGGCTCTCAACCAATAGGAATGGGTAAACTGCCTTAGGTATTTATGAACCAGGAGTAAATACAATGTAATACCATTTACTTCAAGTGCTTAAGGGTTTAACACAAGATAGGCAGAAATTCAGAAACAATAGACTGAATTATATTGTCTCGTGTTTTTTGTATTATCTGTCTTCAGTTTTCAACAGGAAGACTTGGTCTGTATTCAATCCAAGCTTAGCTCCCGAACATGGATAGCCGGGGACAGCAACCCCTGTGCTCCAATCAGAGCCCTGTTTGTCAATGTGGCCCTGGCTGTAATTGCAGAGTGTCACCGAGTGTGTCCAGGTTCAGGGGCCATAACCTGTGTGTCAAAAATGATGGACATTTTGAGGGGATATTTTGAGAGCGCTCCTCCACCATTTCAGGTCTGTAAAGATTCATTGTTGTTTTTGCTTGAACATGCTGAATATTATATAATTCTGGGATTTTATATTAAAAAAATTACTAAGCTCAGGTCAACGCTTTCCAGCCCTATTTTGACAGTTCTTTTCCTTGGCGATAAGTTGTAATGTCATTATATGGCAGTAAGCCAGTGAGCAAAGTTTTCTCACAAATATTTTCAATGAGCACATTTGGGGTTCATAAGTTGAACAGAAAACCCCTAAACTGAACAGTGTCTTCCTGAAATTGACATCACAGCAACAGCCCCCTCAGTTGTCTGGAAAAGCATGGAAAATCTTAAAAGTTTAAAGAAGTGCACTTTTCAATAAAATTAACCAAAAAGGGATGTCAAATAGTTTTCATAAATGTAAGAGGAGTAGAAAGTTGCACAAAATACGTTCCTAAGAAAAATGTCATGGACCCTTTAAACTTTTCTTTGCTTCTTTTTGCTGTTGAAGGCATTTTGTAAGGTAAAACTATACTCCTTTCTGTGAGTATACAAATATTGAGTGGCTCAGCGTGGAATGGGAGGAATATTATCGCAAGGTAAAATTTGGACTTTTCCATTTCACGAGGCGAAGCCGAGTGAACTGGAAAAGTCCAGATTTTACCGAGCGATAATATTCTTCTCATTTCACAATTTAAAGCCACTCAATATTTGTTTTATATAACTGACATATAGATCCTTGTCATTTGATATATTTGAGCTTTTATTTCAATACAAAACTGGAGGAAAATGTATCTCCCTCTTCCAAACCATCCCTTCACAAAAATGTTTGAACCCAACACTGTAGCGCTGGCTCTTTGGAACGATACGCCCTACGTGCAACGCTGAACGCGCACACCAGCATGCAATTGCACACACATACCGCGTCATGGTCCTAACTGTTCAATAGTATTTCCCATTCCCCATGGGCGGATAGTACTTTTTGAGCCGCGGCGTGAATGGGAACAGTAACGAATGTCGCGTGATGTGAGTTCCACCAATCAAATGACAAGGATCTGTATGTCGGTTATATAATATCCTTTATCAACATTTGTAATTCTTGTTAGTCATAGTACAATTGAGCTTTGTGTGTTTTTCCCTCTGTATTTGTACTTACTATTTGATTTGTGAAAGTATTTCTTCTTAAGGAAAAATATAAGTTACCTGTTACAACGGTAAATGTTTCTCTTTTTACCCCTCAGCCGAGAGGCTCGAGGGGTATTGTCATCGCCTAGGGCGTCCGTCCGTCCGGATGTATGTCTGTCTGTCCGTCCGTCCGTCCGTCCGGGCAGCTTAGTTTCCGGATGATAACTTGAGTTAGAAATGTTGTTTGGGGTTGTAACTTCGGTAGGGGGTTGCCCTTGGGAGTAGGCAAGTTTGGATTGGTTTTGAGGTCAAAAGGTCAAAGGTCAAGGTCACCGTGGTGAGTTAAATGTAAATGGTTTCCGGATGATAACTTCAGTTAGAAATGAGATTTTGGTGTCTAACTTTGGTAGAGGGTTGCCCTTGGGAGTAGGCAAGTTGGGATTGGTTTTGGGGTCAAAAGGTCAAAGGTCAAGGTCAGCATGGTGAGATAAAGGTAAATGGTTTCCGGATGATAACTTGAGTTAGAAATGAGATTTTGGTGTCTAACTTTGATAGGGGGTTGCCCTTGGGAGTAGGCAAGTTGGGATTGGTTTTGGGGTCAAAAGGTCAAAGGTCAAGGTCACCGTGGTGAGTTAAATGTAAATGGTTTCAGGATGATAACTTGAGTTAGAAATGAGATTTTGGTGTCTAACTTTGGTAGAGGGTTGCCCTTGGGAGTAGGCAAGTTGGGATTGGTTTTGGGGTCAAAAGGTCAAAGGTCAAGGTCACCATTGTGAGTTAAAGGTAAATGGTTTCCGGATGATAACTTGAGTTAGAAATGCGATTTTGGTGTCTAACTTTGGTAGAGGGTTGCCCTTGGGAGTAGGCAAGTTGGGATTTGTTTTGGGGTCAAAAGGTCAAAGGTCAAGGTCACCAGTGTGAGTTAAAGGTAAATGGTTTCCGGATGATAACTTGAGTTAGAAATGCGATTTTGGTGTCTAACTTTGGAAGAGGGTTCCCCTTGGGAGAAGGCAAGTTGGGATTGGTTTTGGGGTCAAAAGGTCAAAGGTCAAGGTCAGCATGGTCAGTTAAAGGTAAATGGTTTCCGGATGATAACTTGAGTTAGAAATGAGATTTTGGTGTCTGACTGAGGTAGGGGTTTGCCCTTGGGTACAGGCAAGTTGGGATTGGTTTTGGGGTCAAAAGGTTAAAGGTCAAGGTCACCGTGGTGAGTTCAATGTAAATGGTTCCGAATGATACCTTGAGTTAGAAATGAAATGTTGGTGTCTAACTTCGGTAGGGGGTTTCCCATTGGTACAGGCATGTTGGGACTGGTTCTGGGGTCAAAGGCCAAAGGTCAAGGTCACCACGTTGAGTTAAAGGTTAATGGTTTCCGGATGATAACTTGACTCTGGCTGAGGGGTTTCAACAGCAACGCTGTTATTTTTGTTTTTCTTGTTATCTTTTGCACAGATTGGTATAGCTACACTCAACGGTGTCATGTCAGCTGCCTACCTTCGCTTGATCACACTGACCTCAGATACCGTGACCCCTGACCTGCTGACCTCAGCTCAGGCCCTTTTGACCTCGCATGACTCCGACGTGAAATTGGCAACTCTAGCATACCTACAATCAAACGTGACGGACATTCTTGACTGCGGCGATGTGTCCAGAATACAGACACTCCGAGAAAAACTAGCAAACTTGTTGACAGACGCTGAACTAGACATCAGATGTTTAGAAAAGGCTCTTGCATTGTGGGTAGACTTGGGACAAGGGGAAGGGCCTGTATCCGAGCTGCCCTGTGATTGGCAGTGCCTGTGGAATGCACTGACGGGATTGGTGGAGGGCAAAAGGGGGAGTGGCCTGCTTGCCGCTGCATTGCCTGCTATTGGTCAGATGTTACAATGGAGCATACAGACTAATCAAAACAGGTAAATGATGTATTGGTAGTTATTTTTCACAATTTACCCTTTTCAAACCTTTTCTTGTAGTTTGTTCAACTTAAACCCTTACAGTTTCCGCTTGCAGTTGGGTGAACTGCAACCAACATTGAAGAGTTACTATGCATAATTATATTGCCAGAATTTTTAGTAGAACACTATAATTTACGTTAGATTCACAAAAATGTTTGTTTTCTTATTCCTTTGAACCGATTCATTATCATGAAATATGCCAGACGGTTAGAGTTTCTTTTGGCGCAGATGTTGTGCTTTACTGATGTCAAGTCCACTTATATTTTTTTCCTGCCAGTTGGGTGTATGTTGACGTCTGGTGTAACTGGATGGTCACATACAGCCATCCCTCTCAATGCGAGACCAAACGATTAGCTACCGTTCAGTCCGTGAGAATAGCTGCACCGATAGTATGGAGCAAAATAGCAGACGAACACACCGAGGACCAAATAGATATAGCTTTGGAGTAAGTCCGTAACTCACTTTCATTTACTCTCTTTGTAGCATTATTTGCACTCCATGCTCATCAGTGCTTTCCAAAAACTCTTCAATGTTGAGTCAAGTCCCTCATTTAGTTAAGTCTGAATTTGAGTGTTGTTGACTCGAGTCGCTGACTCAGACTTAAAGCTACAGTCCATCATTTGTAATTTGTGCATTTTGTTCGTTTGAAGCAACAAAAGAGTTCAAAATCTAATAAATGATACTGAGCAACTAACCTGATGAAGTTTCAGCTAAGCTTCAGCTGTACATTCCGAGAAAAACAGCATTCTAAGATCTCAATTTCAAATCAAAAGTTACTGAATCTTGTTTTGAATTGTTTTGTAATTGCAGCTATACGCGGCGTCGCGCACTGATCCGACGAATTACAACAACCGCGCACGCGTGTGCGTCGTTCCAATACTTGTGCGCGCTGCGCTGAATAACAAAACGAACTACTAATTTAAATTTTCCTACGGTGCTTCTTAAGAATCACCGTTGGAAATGCCTTCTTTCGTTGATTACTTCAAAATGACAGCTTCCCAGAAAGATTAATTTCACAGGGAGTTTAGTTCCCTTACTATCTTTCAACCAAGTTTGTTTTTCAACAGTAATTACGCTAGTTACTTTTCGGATGGCTGCAAATGATGGACTATAGCTTTAAGTCTGACTCAAGTCGCTATGTTATTTTTACTTGAGACTTGACTTGGCAAAAAATGACGTACAACTTGATTTGACTCGGGAAAAATTTGACTTGCGACTTGCCTGGAATAAATTTGATTTGCTGACATTCACACTTTGGTTAAAATAAACTTTCGGACATACTCAAAAATCAGTTGAACAGACAGCCAAGGACCTGATGTACATGCAGCGAGCTAGGCGTCCTGCATGGTATTTGTGCAGTGCATGCCGGTTGGTGCCATGGAGATCAGTGCCGTTGGCTGCAGTTGTGTAACAAGGCACCGCATTGCCATGCTGCACATTACTGATCAGTGTGTAACAGCATAGAGGAAGGGACATCATCTTGAAAAACTTGACTTGAGACTTGTGACTTGACTTCGAATAACTTCACTTGTGACTGGACTTGAGTCGGGAAAATTTGATTTGTGACTTGACTCGTGGTCTGGAGCATTGAATTCAAGATCTGCAAGTAATTCTGCAGGTTGTGGGTTTGAGTCCAGTCTGCAGCTATGGTGCGTGTGCCCTTGGGCAAGGCACTTTGTCACTCTTTGTTTACTCATTTCTCCCCACCCAGGAGTAAATGGGTACCTATGAGGGCAGAGATGGTTATTGTGATTGGTTTTAGCTGCTTTGCACCTAAATGGCAGTAAACTCCCAGGTAGCTTAGACGGTATTTGGAATGCTTCATTGGCCCAATGAGAAGAGTAATAATGGTGTAGCGCCTTGAGCACCAACAGTAGTGGAAACGTGCGCTTTACACATTATTATATTAAGATGATATTTTTTTGAAACTCCACAAAATAGAACATTCCACAGACCAGCATTTTGTGTCTTTCCTCTGTTCATACCAAAGCTTGCTGATTGCGCTGCTACACCTCTTACAAGATGAGGACCAAGACATTCGATTGGCAGCTGCTGGGCTTGTGTCGCTACGGTTACCCAGAGGAGCACACTGTCTGCAATTCAGTCATCTTCACTGCAATGTTGCTCAACAGGTGGGTTAGTGTAGTAGGTTCATAGTAGGCCTCCGTCGGTCAAAGATGACCATAGATGATGTATCCTAGTTTTCTGTCCTATTGGAGCAGCATCGTCTGTGACTGTAGAGACCAATGCGAGAGTGGGTTAGTGTATGAATTTTTAAAACACATGGGATGGTTTATGGTGCAACATATGTCGAGCAATGGATTTAGGAACAGTAAATGGCCCTTTATGGCTTACGCATGCAGTCCAGTGTTTCAAAGACACTGTGTATTCTCAGACTGGCTTGCTTACTTTTGGCACAGATCAGTGCACACAACTGTTGAATGAAGAATACCATTGTCCAGTGGTTACGTTTTTTTACTCGTGTACGATGGTGCGTGGGTTCAAACCCTGCCAGGAACATGGTGTTTGTGGCCTTGGGCAAGACACTTAACTACAATTGCCTCTCTCCACCCAGGAGTATGGATGGGTACCTGTGAGGATAGAGGACCGAATGTGCGCCGATGAATGGGGGAATAATTGTAAAGCGCTTTGAGATTGTTGATACAATGGAAAGCGCTATAATTGTAAGCATTAATATAATTCTCATTTGAATTTGCACAAACGCATGACAGGTTTTGTTTGAGGCAATCAAGTGTCCTTCAAAGCTTCACTGTTCAGAATCAATAGCGGAGTCTTCCTCATTGTTTTCCTTGGCAAATTATACATTTCAGGGACAGCATTTTACAGACCGACATTTCAACTAATACTCATTGTTGAATAGAGGCGGTTTTTCTTTTTCTCACATTTTTTTTAAAATTCAAGGCCACAGGCTCCATTTATTTGAAAGTTGGAAATTGAGTTTGGGATCTTTATAATGGTAATTTTCAAATCTCACTGACAGGATCTTCAACAGGCACAATGCTTGAACATGCTACCCCCACCTCCAATTTGAAGTCATAGCTTTGGGGGATGTTAACCAGTTCGCGCCGGGATTATTTTGACATTGACCAAACCCAGGCGCAGGATTGTTTTTCACAGACCTCGATGCCAGACGGGTTCAGGCCGTCATCTGCGGGTAGCACACCCTGAAAGTTCTGGCCTTGCTCGTTGTGAGCGGGTCGCTGACAGATATTTCCGGCTTCGCTTGTTGCGTGTTTATCCGTCATCCGTTCCGTAGACTGCCAAACCTTTGCATGTATACACGTCTTTCGACGAATTGATGAGAGTTTGATGGTTATATATTCTGTTATATATATTTTAACTGTTCAGTATTATAATTATTATACATGTAATTGAATCCAAAAATTAAAAAAAAATTTAAAAAGTCCAAAAATCCAATTTCATTGGAAAGGCCATTTTTCAGGCTCTCTGTCTTTAAAGGGAATATACATCATTTGCTTTTGCTGTAATTTTCAGAAATGGTTGGAATTGGGGGGTTGGAAATATAAAGCAAATATAGTTACACTGACTTTTTGGAGGTTTTGGGTTCGAAAATGCTATAAAAACCAAGAAAAACGATCATTTTCCTGTAGTCTGGTTCCCTGACTCCATATAAGAAGAAACAGAGCAGTTTACATACATTGGGGAATTGTAAGGTTAGGGAACCAGTCTAGCTGGCTCGTACCCGTTCATAGGTTTGTAATCGATTGTAAACAAGTGCGATGGTCAATTGGGGCCAGTATTTGAAAAAAAAGCCAGTTGTTTCCAACGCTGATCGGCCGATCAGCGTTGGAAATTGATACAAAAATACCACTTTTCTTGAAAATGACAGTATACCAGGTGCCATAATTTTACAGGATGCTTTAGACTGTCATTTACCAACATCCTATTAAGGTATTTTGCAAAAACTTGGTAGTTTTATTTTTCGATGTTTGCAAATGTTGTATATTCCCTTTAATCTAAATTGTTTGACATTTCTGATTGTTTGCCTTTCTGTAGGTGTTAGTTGACTACCTGTGTCGGGCGTTCTTCTGGTCTCCCAAATTCATGACATCAGTTCTCGGCTTGCTTCAGGGATCAGTGGATTTATCAGAAGCCACCCACCAACTTGCTTCTGGGTATGTTGTAAAAACAACTTTTATGAAGAGATTAACCCTATAGCTAACCCCCCTAGGCCCTTTTTGCTAGGAACCGTCTTGAATCCTCCAAAATCCTCCAAAATGTTTCAAAATGTTGCAACAACGCCTAAATCCTTTAAAATCGTCAGACAGTCCTGCCTCAAAAATTCATCCCCAATCCTCCAAAATCATCCTCATCTTCAAACACCATTCATCCTCCATCCTCCAAAATCATCGTGTTTCTCAAATGCCATTCATCCTCAATCCTCAACAATCCTCCAAAACCTCAATGAGGATTTTGGAGGATTGAGGTGGGTTAGGGTTAAGACGAGTATTACCATCTGTTTGTGGTACATTCATGTGCTTCGTCCGACCATGTAATCAGCAGTTTTGTAGTCGAGTACTGTTGTCCGAGTACAAAGTGCTATCGAGCTATCGAGAACCACTTGCATCCAAGTACTTACGGGTACCTGAGTCCAAGTGCTTAGACCTTCAATTACAAGTTCTTTATGGAGCACCCTATTGAAAACAGTTAAAATCTCAAGTAATTTAGCAACATGGATGTTATGGGCTACGTTTGAGCAAGAATTGATAAAACCGAGCATTGACGTCTCTGAATGAGATTTTCTTCATTCAAAAATAAATTACTTGACTTTTCCCCGAGTCCTTATACGAGTACTTTGATGATTGAATAGTCGAGTCCAAGTACTTTGCTTTTGATGATGAGTACCGTGAGTTCAAGTCCGAGTATTTTGATATTTTAGTATTAGTGCGAGTACGAGTATCCTCAAAAAGTACGCCTGTACTTGAGTAGGAGTACTGAGTGCGAGAACTACAACACTGTTATTGGGGATGCCCCCAGGAAAGTCTCATCACACCCAGAGAATGAGATCTCACCCAGAGAATGAGATGATGTTGACTACTCAAAAGTCAGAGTTGTACTCAAGACATCGGGTTTCACCTCAACGACATCTGGCTCCCACTACTCCAGACTGATGGATCCCCTATACCCTAGGTCCTCAGCTATACCTTAGACTGATGGGTCTCCTATACCCTAGGTCCTCCCTCTACTGAGACTGCAACCCTTCTGTTCCACCTCATTGGGCACACCAAGCTAGCTCTGGGATCCTAGCTACTTGGAATCCACACAGGATGCAACATCACACTTCACCAATTTGGCGTTTTTTCTACTTAAGTGTTTACTTTCTTAGAGTTTAGGCACTCTCCTGAAGACGGTCAGAGCATACTGACCGGAACGTCGAGTTTATACCTCTGATTCTTTTCAGAACCATTCTCTTAATTGAGAAATTATTCACACATGGTGTTTCCGCAAACCTTTCATTATTATTTTGGAGTTGTACTCGTATTCACAACCATTCTCAAGTTAAATATGACGAAGGCATGTTTAGTTATCATATACCCCCTGTTACTTGTGACTTGACTTGATTATAACTCTGCTCAAAATATATTGGATCGGGAATCTGTCTGTTGGACGTGTTTGTGAAGTTAATTGGATTGAAAGATTTTCAAGTAAGAGTCAAAGTAAGTTACACGCATCTACTGAATTGTTTTTATCTCGTAGTGGTACTCATCTGTTTGGACAAGAGAGTGCCAACATTTATGCTGAGGGTGTCATGGAGGCAAAGGTTCTGTACCAAGCACTTGTGGTAAGCAAAAACCCTCCTGCCTTATTCACCAACGACAGTTGTTGCATGGGATGCATTATTTGTAGCCCTCTCCCTGTGCAACACAGCAGCAAGCACAACAAGGTGTACAAATCTGTGGGACCTTGTTGCATTTCAGAAAACACCAACAGCAACGCAACTGCTACTAAGTCAGTTCTGTACTCAAATTGTGTGTGCACACATCTAGATTTTCTCTTCGGGATAAACGATCCACCATGCCCACGCGAAATATTAAAGGGTACTAACAAATTTTGAGATATGTTCTTGTTCTGTATGAAGTAAAACAAACTTTGGACTGAACCATGTTTTCAAGTACTTTTGTACTCTTAACTTTTGTGAGAGTCTTAAATTATCTGAGACAAATTTCTAATTGTATATTTGGTTACCATCGCCCCCATAGACTTGTGTTATCTGCCGCCTTTACACTCAAAATCAGTGAATGTTCTTATGCACATTGGCTGTTGGAATACCAATGGCCTGTTTAAGACAAAACAACAGTCCTGAATCCTTCAATTTAAATACGATTTTTCACACACCCTAGCAGGCTAAGGTTAAAGAGAGTCACTTTAAGATCCTATTGCAGCTAGTAAACGCGTGCTCTGAGGCCGTTTGGCCTTCAGATGGTTGATTTGACGTTGAACAAAGAAATTGAAAAGTTGAACAAAGAAATTGACTGGAACGGGGTTTGAACCTGCGACATCCGGATTACAGTTCCAGTGCTTTAACCAACTGAGCTATCCAGCCCTATGTTGGCGGTTACACGCAGCAAACATGGCACTTTGACAAGTCTTGTTGAATCGAGTGTTGTCAAATTGAAGAGGGTATCCCGCCATGATCGTTAAGGGAAGTAGGGTGAATTTTTCAAGCATGCTGAAAAAAACAATCTCATCTGTTTCTCTTAACCAATTTGACAGGAGACAGTAGAGAGGGAGCAAGCAGCCAATCCCGAGAGCTTCCAGACCTGGCTGAGCAGCTGGTGTGAGGCAGCCCCCCTGCTGGTAGATGCACAGGAAGATTTAGCCATCACACTGCAGATACTTGAGACCGGTGTAACAATGGGTGGGTTTGAGAATGAGGTTCACCATAAAAGTGTTTGTAGATGCACAGGAAGATTTAGCCATCACACAGCAGATGCTTGAGACCGGTGTAACAATGGGTGGGTTTGAGAATGAGGTTCACTGTAAAGTGCTGGTAGATGCACAGGAAGATTTAGCCATCACACAGCAGATGCTTGAGACCGGTGTAACAATGGGTGGGTTTGAGAATGAGGTTCACTATTAAAGTGTTGGTAGATGCACAGGAAGATTTAGCCATCACACAGCAGATGCTTGAGACCGGTGTTACAATGGGTGGGTTTGAGAATGAGGTTCACCATTAAAGTGTTGGTAGATGCACAGGAAGATTTAGCCATCACACAGCAGATGCTTGAGACCGGTGTAACAATGGGTGGGTTTGAGAATGAGGTTCACTGTAAAGTGCTGGTAGATGCACAGGAAGATTTAGCCATCACACAGCAGATGCTTGAGACCGGTGTTACAATGGGTGGGTTTGAGAATGAGGTTCACCATTAAAGTGTTGGTAGATGCACAGGAAGATTTAGCCATCACACAGCAGATACTTGAGACCGGTGTAACAATGGGTGGGTTTGAGAATGAGGTTCACTGTAAAGTGTTTGTAGATGCACAGGAAGATTAAGCCATCACACAGCAGATGCTTGAGACCGGTGTAACAATGGGTGGGTTTCAGAATGAGGTTCACCATAACAGTGTTGGTAGATGCACAGGAAGATTTAGCCATCACACTGCAGATGCTTGAGACCGGTGTAACAATGGGTGGGTTTCAGAATGAGGTTCACCATTAAAGTGTTGGTAGATGCACTGGAAGATTTAGCCATCACACTGCAGATACTTGAGACCGGTGTAACAATGGGTGGGTTTCAGAATGAGGTTCACCATTAAAGTGTTGGTAGATGCACAGGAAGATTTAGCCATCACACTGCAGATGCTTGAGACCGGTGTAACAATGGGTGGGTTTGAGAATGAGGTTCACCAAAACAGTGTTGGTAGATGCACAGGAAGATTTAGCCATCACACAGCAGATACTTGAGACCGGTGTAACAATGGGTGGGTTTGAGAATGAGGTTCACCATTAAAGTGTTGGTAGATGCACAGGAAGATTTAGCCATCACACAGCAGATGCTTGAGACCGGTGTAACAATGGGTGGGTTTGAGAATGAGGTTCACCATTAAAGTGTTGGTAGATGCACAGGAATATTTAGCCATAAGACTGCAGATACTTGAGACCGGTGTAACAATGGGTGGGTTTGAGAATGAGGTTCACCATAAAAGTGTTGGTAGATGCACAGGAAGATTTAGCCATAACACTGCAGATACTTGAGACCGGTGTAACAATGGGTGGGTTTGAGAATGAGGTTCACCGTAAAAGTGTTGGTAGATGCACAGGAAGATTTAGCCATCACACAGCAGATACTTGAGACCGGTGTAACAATGGGTGGGTTTGAGAATGAGGTTCACCATAAAAGTGTTGGTAGATGCACAGGAAGATTTAGCCATAACACTGCAGATACTTGAGACCGGTGTAACAATGGGTGGGTTTGAGAATGAGGTTCACCATAAAAGTGTTGGTAGATGCACAGGAAGATTTAGCCATCACACAGCAGATACTTGAGACCTGTGTAACAATGGGTGGGTTTGAGAATGAGGTTCACCGTAAAAGTGTTTGTAGATGCACAGGAAGATTTAGCCATCACACTGCAGATGCTTGAGACCGCTGTAACAATGGGTGGGTTTGAGAATGAGGTTCACCGTAAAAGTGTTGGTAGATGCACAGGAAGATTTAGCCATCACACAGCAGATGCTTGAGACCGCTGTAACAATGCGTGGGTTTGAGAATGAGGTTCACCATTAAAGTGTTGGTAGATGCACAGGAAGATTTAGCCATCACACTGCAGATACTTGAGACCGGTGTAACAATGGGTGGGTTTGAGAATGAGGTTCACTGTAAAGTGTTGGTAGATGCACAGGAATATTTAGCCATAAGACTGCAGATACTTGAGACCTGTGTAACAATGGGTGGGTTTGAGAATGAGGTTCACCATTAAAGTGTTGGTAGATGCACAGGAAGATTTAGCCATCACACTGCAGATACTTGAGACCGGTGTAACAATGGGTGGGTTTGAGAATGAGGTTCACTGTAAAGTGTTGGTAGATGCACAGGAATATTTAGCCATAAGACTGCAGATACTTGAGACCTGTGTAACTGCAGATACTTGAGACCTGTGTTGGTAGATGCACAGAAAGATTTAGCCATCACACAGCAGATACTTGAGACCGGTGTAACAATGGGTGGGTTTGAGAATGAGGTTCACCATAACAGTGTTGGTAGATGCACAGGAAGATTTAGCCATCACACTGCAGATACTTGAGACCGCTGTAACAATGCGTGGGTTTGAGAATGAGGTTCACCATAAAAGTGTTGAAGCAATGAAATAACGGTAGCCAAGACACCATAACAAAGCTTGAAGTAAGCATCAACTTTCTTGGGGATTTCACTTATAAGGGACGTCTCTTTTGAACCTGTTTATTTGCTCACTTTAAAATATTTTGGTTCAAGAGATATCACATCATTGTTCAGACATAACTTCTTGTCTTGGTTTGGTGTGTTTTTATTTGCCATAGGTGGGACATTATGTGGCGTGTCCAGCCACAGTAAACCCTACCAAACCATCTACAGACAACTGCTGTATGTAAGGTTCCTGTGTGGTGTAACCAAGATATTAGATGCAGACGAGGTCGTTTTGGGTGCCATGAATGAACTACAGCTGACCCTCAAGCAAATAGCCGAGGTATTTCACTTCTGATGCAATTCTTTACATTTCCCCCCCCCCCTTTTTTTTAGTTTTGCCCTTCACCAAAAAATAGGGTGTAGAATGCAAGGGGTCAAGGTTCATGACATGAGGTTTACACTGCAATTTAGGTTGTGTAAATATCCATTCCTCCGAAATGTATGAAAACTACAAAACATCCCTTTTTGGTTAAAGTCTTTGTAAAAGTCCATTTTTTTTATCATCTAAAACATTCCATGCTTATTTCTGACAACTGAGGCTCTGTTGCTGTGATGTCATTTCAGAAAGACTCTGTTCAGTTTAAGGGTTTTCTGTTCATATTGTGATTCGAAATTTTTGGTAACTAAAAAACATAATGTATCACCAAAGCCAACAAAAAATTAATTACCATGGCAAAACCCCCACATTCTGGAAACTTTTGATGCGGGAACAGCTGCACACCAAATTTGTCTGCCTAAAATGACATCACAGTTTTGCCCATGAATATGAAAATTCACATGAGTTGCAAAACCAAAGAGGCATCAGAACACCCTTAAAAATGTCAATATGCAGATAGAAAATAAAGATATAGGGACATGCATAAAAAGGATTGCATTACAAAAGTTTTTATTACATGGGCCCTGTAATAACTTGGTGCCTCGTCTGTTTGAGAGGCCGGAGAATACAGTATTCTTTCTGGCCAACTGGAGCACTGGAATAGTACTTACTTATTTTGGTTATTGCCTTTCTTGTTTGAATACAGATGCCGTCTGTTCATCCATGCCTGAAGACTGAACTATCTTCTCTTTCCCAGTTCATCACAAGCCAACTGGAATTGAAAGCAACAAATGCACCTTAGCTTTGGATGAGACGGCCCATGTTGAACTTTCCCCCCTCATTTTCCCCCCATATCCAAGGATTTCGCAGCATTATTTATTTTCAACTAAACCCAGGCAAGAGAATCCTCCACGGATCCGCGGATTTCAGACTTCTGGAGAAAAACTAAACTTAAAATTGTTCCGGGGCCCTTAAGCAGGCCCCGGATCCCACGCCGTAAGGAATTCACGCTTACACGCTCGCATTAGTCCTCGGAGCACAAATGAACCCTATGTTAACATTTTCAGACTTTTTGGTGATTTTGTGTTCTCATGCCTGTAAACCACAAAGGGAAACTGACTAGGTGCATAAGCGTAGTTGAAAGAAATTGACTGAAGCCGGGTTTGAACCTGCGACCTCTGGATTGCCATTCCGGTGCTCTACCAACTTAGCTATCCGGCCCTATGTTGACGGTTCCCCACTTCGTCAATGTCTTTGTTCAATGGGCGCTAGCCAGAAGCCATATACACCTGTATATTCCATGTAGCCAGGGATCACACCCAAAGTCACAACATCTCTAACATACCCCCTTTTAACACACTGTCTACAGCGACAGCACATTGCAGCTTAACTCACTTCTTATTCAGCAAACTTTGAAACAGTGGTTTTGTAGGCTTTTGTTTTGAAATCAGTGGTACTCGGTCATCCATGACTGAAGAGACGCACATGACATATCAAAGAAAAGCTAATGAACTACCCTTTAACTTAAGATGGAGCCACTTTGACAGTGTTCAAGTGCATAACTTTTACATTTTAACCATTACTTTTGGATTACCTTCATTTTGATACACCCTGTAAATTTAACTTTCAAATTAGGATCAATTGGATCTGCTCTGTTAATCAGCAATAAAGCCTGCATGAAGCAATTTTGCCTTTGAAGTATTATTAATTTGAGACAGTTACAACGGCGGATCCAGGGGGACCCCCCAAAAACATTGGTCAAAGTGGTTAGAAATTGCCTCTGATCGCACCACAGAGCATCTAGAATCCAAAAAACTTTGGGGCCCTTAAGCGGGCCCCGAACCCCAAGCCATAATTTGTTGGACCCACTTTTTGGGGACCATAAACATTTTTGGCCCCCCAAAAATTGTGTTCTGGATCCGCCCTTGGACAGTTAAGACAACTCTGACATGTTTTTAAGTCTAACCATTAAATTATAACTGTAGAATTCTCTGGTCTTTTCTTGTTGTTCACCTACAGCCTTTAACTTTTTAAGATAAACAGACATTAACTTAATTGTTTTTTAATTGTATTTGCTCATGAAAAGTCTAGGAGCAAACTGAATTGGGCTTCCGAGGGAAATATGAAAGAAAGATGACAAGGGAATCTTTTTAATTGCACATTTGAACTTTATCAGCAAGAATGTTACAAATCTTGAGAAGAAATTGTATGCAACTTAAAGGTAATATACAACATTTGCAAACATTGAAAAATAAAACTATCTAGTTTTTACGAAATACCTTACTAGGATGTTGGTAAATGACAGTCTTAAGCATCCTGTAAAATTATGGCACCTGGTGTGAAGTCATTTTCAAGAAAATAGTATTTTTGTAAACATTTCCAATGGTGGTCAGCCGACCACCGTTGGAAAAACCTAACTATTTTTCAACTGCTGATCCAAAGTAACCATTTTTCTTTCAGTCCAAATTTTGTTTGCTATTGGTTACATGTCCATGAACGGGTGCAGGCCGGCTAGACTGGTTCCATTACCTTACAAGTTTCCGGCATCTGTAAATTGATCCATTTTATATTTAGTGGAGTCAGGGAACCAGACTACTTGAACATTTTTGTTTTTCTTGTTTTTTTTCTCAGCATTTTCGAACACAAACCTTCAAACATGTCAGTCTAACAATATTTGATCTATTATACTAACCCCTCAAATAGTTCATTTCTGAAAATTACAGCAAAAGCCAATCATGTATATTCCCTTTAACTTTTTATGTAATTTTATGTTAATTCTTCGAGATTTATTGTATGGCCTATGCCATAAGTGCAATAAGGGAGATGCTTTATCTGCATTAGATTAACTGGTCAAGTTTAGTTTCCAGTAATCATTATTTCAATCATTCACCTCAGACTTGAATAGGTGTAAATGTACTTTATTTTCTGTACTTTTATATAGCTTTCGTCATTTTGGAATACATTTTGGAATAAAGGTTTGAACTCGATGAAGAATGAAAGGTTTTAAGAAGTCGTCCAAGGAAAACCTCATGTACAAGAGTTTTATTTGATCGTCCAGGCTACCAGGGTAATTGCTTCCCATACCCTGAAGTTTAATTTGGTGGTTTGTCAGATTTGTTTCCTTGATTTAAATATGCAGATTACCCCCAAAATAATAATACTTGGGCATTTTACTGTACTGCAATTAAAACACAGCAAGCTGGAAAAGACTTTATTTTTATACCGTACCTAATTAATTTTGCTGATAAAATATATTTTAATTTCTTTTCTTTTTTCAAAACTATATTGTTCACTTGTTGAAGTGGTTGTACCTTTCAAGTACTCATTTTTGAATGAGTGCAGGTATAGGATACGATAGGATACGATAGGCCATAGTAGGATAGGCCTTTTTGTGGGATATATATTTGGAATTATATCTAACTCACAAGTTGAACCCAAAATGTCTGCAATTGCCTTGGATGATTCGGGCCCTTTTTTCTTAATTGTAACATTCCAGTACATGACGTTTGTGTTGCTGCAAATAAAATCTGTTTCAGAAAACGGGAAAATGTGGTAGTGGACGAAGTTATTAATTATAATCAACCTGATTCATTCAATTTGTTCCCGATGGTAACTGAAGGATGAGTAGTGGCGTGGACAGGAGACCAGAGTTTCCCTGCGCACGTACATCGTCCCCTCCATTTTCTTCCATAGTCTTAAGAAAAGTAACAGCCACGGCTGTTCCTTGCTTATGGTATATACCTATCTGCATTTTAAATAATATTTTGTGTAAATAAAGCACTGAGCACCGCGTTTTAGACCCTGCATGAAGGTAAAGCAATTACACCCATGAGCCACTATACGACCGGAAAGCGGTGAATATCGCTTCGATTGAATTTATCTACGGTGAAAATCGGCCCGGATCCGCCCTTGGGGGGGGGGGGGGGTGAGGGGGACTTTTTACTACATGATGGCCCGCCCTATTAGACGGAATCGATGATGGAGGCCCGTTCTTAATAATGTAGGACTACTTCTTGTCACAACCATTCCTTCCTCCATGTCACAACTAAACTCTCATTCCTTCCTCCATGCTCTCATCATATTTAATTAAGGGATATTCCTCTCTGATTTGGCCGTATGGCAAATTTTATAACCGTCGTACATCATATCATCGACACTGAAATTAACCGCTTCGAAAAATATGACATATTTTCATGAGGACATGCGCATTTATAGACCAACGTTTTATTAAAGGGCCATGCTGGAGGGGGGGGGTGGGGCTTTGGGCTGAGCATCGACTCGAGCTGCAGCAATTAATTTACTAGTTAGCCTACAGCGGGATCTACCGCTTGATTCTGGATCAACAATACATGTTCAATTAGTTGTATTACGGTATCTAATTAACAAGCACGTCACTCCTGTTAGTCCTGTAAACATATAATTTTTTTGCTGTGCCAATATATTAAAATAGGATCACGTGAACGCCTTTTCGATTATCATCAATCAGCTGCTCATCGGACTGTGGAAAGTCTATTTTTCATTCATCGCCATGATCGCATGCTGCGACAACAGCAAACAAAACCGCAAGGTCATGATAGTCAACCAACGTGTACTGTGTAAACGAGGAAGTACCGCGCAGGGTACCACGTGTACACAATGTACACGTGCACGCCTGCATATCACGATCAGCTGATTGCGGTCAGCCGGTCGGTAGACGATCGATGACAAACTGAAAACCCTTTCAAAATACGCGCGGTACCTCACGTGTGCGCTTGCGTAAGTCCACATTTCACGCTCGAATTTGCTGTTTGCTGCCTTAACTGACAAGAAATGAAACAAATGTCCTTTCTTCTAAGTTTAAAACGGTGAAATGTTGTGTTTTTCGACCGTAATTTGGCATAATTTCAGTTGCTTTTATCGCGACTCGAACCATCGCACCAACTGGTCGGCTGAAAGAATCTATGTTGTCAGCTAGGTAGCGTGGCCGAGCGGTCTAAGGCGCTGGTTTTAGGCACCAGTCATTTCGATGGCGTGGGTTCGAATCCCACCGCTGCCAAATTGTTTTTCTTCTTCTTTATAATTATGCTACTTTCGACATGATACAGGGTACTTTTTAACGCAATGGCAGTACATAATTACAACTCCTATTCTTTTATTTTTCTTTTAACTCAATTCCATTTATAGGCTAAACAGCCGTGCGAGATAGCCTCTGTAGTCTGTATTGCGACTCGGAGGGACTGGCCCGGAATTCTCGATCACAGCCTTTTGTCATACACAAGTAAACCAATCAGCATTATATATTTGTTCTTCTAGAAAGGGTACAACTGTCTCTCCCGTTTTCTAAGTATAGTTTTCTTTTATAATAGCTCCGAAACGCTTCGACATCCGTGCATCATTATTTTCTTCTGACCTTTCTTATCAATATAGTCTATGGAATAGCCGCTTGCATACAAGCGTCTATTATAATATTCGCACAGTTTCGGCGATTAATTATGCAAAAAATCAACAAGTATATAATTGATGCGTCTTGACCTCCAAATTCTGACCATTTAGCGGGCGCCCTCTATGGGTCTTCCGTACCCGTTGTTGTTTTACAAAAACGTGGCTGCCTCAGACTATACCAAGCGGTTCGCACAAAATTGCAAAACCAATTTTGTGGGACGTTCCTCGGGTTGCCCTGGCTACCGATTTAATAATGTTAGTAATCGTAAAATTATAATTATTCTCATTACAAAAATGATGGTAACAAAAAAAACATGCATGCATTATGAAAAGGTTTTCAAAATGCCGGTTTTCAAAATGCTATTGTAATTTTGTGGGGGTGATGGGTGGGGGTGGTAAGGGGGGGGGGGCCGGGGGGGGGGGGGGGTAGCGCGTATATGGCCAGCCTTCTCACCATGGGGGAGAATGGGTGCCGGGCTGCATATAGTGGGGGTCGTGGCCTCCGTAAAATCAAACTGGGAAGGAGGGGGGGGGGGGTTGGACACCATCTTTCTATGGGGGCGTCCTTCAAACAAAGCGGACATTATCTGAGAGGGGGCACTCGTGAAAAAGCTTGTGAAAGGCCGCTCGTGGGAAAAGTACAACCAAATTTCCAGGGGGGAGCGACTGGGGGGGGGGGGGGGGTAACGCCGGGGGATTCATCATGTGCGTTTGTATATGACAGTAAATCGATGAGCAAACAGACAGACCAATTATGAACAAAAAGTGGGCAGAGATTGCATAAAAACTCGAGTGTCTGGATTGAAAGAACACTTAGGATTGCTATGTATAAGACTTTTGCTATATCGGCGAAGGGGTGATTCTCTCGACCAGATCCCAGCGTGCTGCACTGCGTGCTGCTGGCCAGAGCTAGGCCAAAGCAAGGACATGGGACTACATTGGTCAGCAGTACAACAATCAGTATATAGTCAGCATTCATCAGATCAAAATTTGAATTTAAAAAATACTGGCAGCGGTGGGATTCGAACCCACGCCATCGAAATGACTGGTGCCTTAAACCAGCGCCTTAGACCGCTCGGCCACGCTACCTTGCTGTCAGGAGTTTGGATGATATTTATAATAATCAATCTTCTTGTTGCGGCCCTCGTGTTTACCTTAAAATTTAACTTGAATTTTGGTTGCACAAAGTGTATGCAAAACTGATAATACATGCGTTGAATAGTTCGTTGCCTTTGCTTCCAGAAAAATAGATCCCCCTCAAAAAAAGGAGAGAAAAAACTTCACGTTTCATAAAAGCAAAAATGGAGTAGCAGTGGGATGCGAACCCACGCCATCGAAATGGCTGATGTCTGAAACCAACGCCTTAAAGCACTCGGCTACTTTAC